AATAACAATAAAACTATTCATAAACTTACATTAGAAACTTGCTTTTGTGTTAAGATTTGTATAACTGGTAAAACTACTTTAAATTAAATTGCTTGAGTTTTATATGAATTGGCATTACTGGAATAACTATCTCAACTAAGCAGTAATACTATAAAAAACTATGTCAGACAGATTGGTATTTACTATGAATAACTATGTCAAACTACGTAGTAATACTATGAAAAACTATGTCAGCGGTGCTAAACCCAAAGGGTATCGCTAGATTTGACCAATTCATAACCTCAGAATTTCAAAAATAATAACAATAAAACAATTCATAAACGAAAAAATTCAAAAAGAATAACAATAAAACTATTCATAAACTTACATTAGAAACTTGTTTTTGTGTTAAGATTTGTATTACTGGTAAAACTACTTTAAACTAAATTGCTTGTGTTTTGATTTGTATTGGTATTACTATGAATAACTATGTCAAACTAAGCAGTAATACAATAATAAAACTATGTCAAACAAATTGGTATTACTATGAATAACTATGTCAACTACGTAGTAATGCTATGAAAAACTATGTCAGTTATGGAAAACCAAAGTGTCTACACCATGATAAACCCCAATTCATAACCCCAGAATTTAAAAATAATAACAATAAAACAATTCATAAACTCAGAAATTCAAAAGAATAACAATAAAACTATTCATAAACTTACATTAAAAACTTGCTTTTGTGTTAAGATTTGTATTATTGGTAAAACTACTTTAAACTAAATTGTTTGTGTTTTGATTTGTATTGGTATTATTATGAATAACTTTGTCAAACTAAGCAGTAATACAATAAAAAACTATGTCAAACAAATTGGTATTACTATGAATAACTATGTAAAACTACGTAGTAATACTATGAAAAACTATGTTAGTTATGGAAAATCTGTTTACACCCTGATAAACCCAATTCATAACCCCAGAAGTTTAAACTTCATAGACTCAGAAATTCATAAAGAATACCAATAAAAGTATTCATAAACTTACATTTGAAACTGGCCTTGGTGTTAGGATTTTGTATTTCTCGTAAAACTACTTTAAACTAAATTGCTTGTGTTTTGAGGTGTATTGATATTCTAAGCCTGACTATGTCAAACTAAGCAGTAATACTATAAAAAACCATGTCAAACAAATTGGTATTACTATGAATAACTATGTCAAACTACGTAGTAATACTATGAAAAACTATGTCAGTTATGGAAAACCAAATGTTTACACCATGATAAACCCAATTCATAACCTCAGAATTCAAAAATAATAACAATAAAACAATTCATAGTTTTGGAAATTCAAAAAGAATAAAAATAAAACTATTCATAAACTTACATTAGAAATTCAAAAAGAATAACAATAAAACTATTCATAAATTTACATTAGAAACTTGCTTTTGTGTTAAGATTTGTATAACTGGTAAAACTACTTTAAACTAAATTGTTTGTGTTTTTATTTGAATTGGTATTACTATGAATTGGTATTACTATGCTGACTATGTCAAACTAAGCAGTAATACTATAAAAAACTATGTCAAACAAATTGATATTACTATGAATAACTATGTCAAACTACGTAGTAATACTATGAAAAACTATGTCAGTTATGGAAAACCAAATGTTTACACCATGATAAACCCAATTCATAAACCCAGAATTTCAAAAAGAATAACAATAAAACAATTCATAAACTCAGAAATTCAAAAAGAATAACAATAAAACTATTTATAAACTTACATTAGAAACTTGCTTTTGTGTTAGGATTTGTATTATTGGTAAAACTACTTTAAACTAAATTGCTTGTGTTTTGATTTGTATTGGTATTACTATGCATAACTATGTCAAACTAAGCAGTAATACAATAAAAAACTATGTCAAAAAAATTGGTATTACTATAAATAACTATGTAAAACTAAGTTGTAATACTATGAAAAATTATGTCAGTTATGGAAAACCAAATGTTTACATCATGATAAACCCAATTCATAACCCCAGAATTTCAAAAGAATAACAATAAAACAATTCATAAACTCAGAAATTCAAAAAAAATAACAATAAAACTATTCATAAATTTACATTAGAAACTTGCTTTTGTGTTAAGATTTGTATAACTGGTAAAACTACTTTAAACTAAATTGTTTGTGTTTTTATTTGAATTGGTATTACTATGAATAACTATGTCAAACTAAGCAGTAATACAATAAAAAACTATGTCAAACAAATTGGTATTACTATAAATAACTATGTAAAACTACGTAGTAATACTATGAAAAACTATGTCAGTTATGGAAAACCAAATGTTTACATCATGATAAACCCAATTCATAACCCCAGAATTTCAAAAAGAATAACAATAAAACAATTCATAAACTCAAAAATTCAAAAAGAATAACAATAAAAAACTTACATTAGAAACTTGCTTTTGTGTTAAGCTTTGTATTACTGGTAAAACTACTTTAAACTAAATTGCTTGTGTTTTGATTTGTATTGGTATTACTATGAATAACTATGTCAAACTAAGCAGTAATACAATATAAAATTATGTCAAACAAATTGGTATTACTATGAATAACTATGTAAAACTACGTAGTAATACTATGAAAAACTATGTTAGTTATGGAAAACCAAATGTTTACACCATGATAAACCTAATTCATAACCCCAGAATTTCAAAAAGAATAACAATAAAAAAATTCATAAACTCATAAATTCAAAAAGAATAACAATAAAACTATTCATAAACTTACATTAGAAACTTGCTTTTGTGTTAGGATTTTTATTACTGGTAAAACTACTTTAAACTAAATTGCTTGTGTTTTTATTTGTATTGGTATTATTATGAATAACTATGTCAAACTAAGCAGTAATACAATAAAAAACTATGTCAAAGAAATTGGTATTACTATGAATAATTATGTAAAACTACGTAGTAATACTATGAAAAACTATGTCAGTTATGGAAAACCAAATGTTTACACCATGATAAACTCAATTCATAACCCCAGAAATTCAAAAAGAATAACAATAAAACTATTCATAAACTTACATTAGAAACTTACTTTTGTGTTAGGATTTGTATTAATGGTAAAACTACTTTAAACTAAATTGCTTGTGTTTTGATTTGTATTGGTATTACTATGAATAACTTTATCAAACTAAGCAGTTATACAATAAAAAACTATGTCAAATAAATTGGTATTACTTGAATAACTATGTCAAACTACGTAATAATAATATGAAAAACTATTTCAAACCAAGCATAAACATTATGTTCATAATTAGAAATACATAGAAAACATTGATTGAAACTGTGGGGGTTTACATTAGAAAACAAAGATATAAACCATTGTAATTAAAACAAATTCATAGGTTTAACAAATACCCACTAACAAAGATTAGCTAAATATTTGGTTTTCTATAAGCAAAAATCTTGTCAATACCGGCCAAAATCTCCTTCAGATTTGCAATCTACTTAGAATTGGTAATCAGTTCTTCACGCATTTGTTTGATCAATAAATCATGGTGTAAGCCATAGTTTTGCACAAACCGAATGATGAAAACCCCGAAATTCAAAGTCTAAATAATATCAATTCATAAACCCAGAAATTCAAAAAGAATAACAATAAAACAATTCATATACTCAGAAATTCAAAAAGAATAACAATAAAACTATTCATAAAATTACATTAGAAACTTGCTTTTCTGTTAAGATTTGTATTACTGGTAAAACTACTTTAAACTAAATTGCTTGTGGTTTGATTCATACTGGTATTACTATGAATAACTATGTCAAACTACATAGTAATACTATGAAAAACTATGTCAAATTAAGCATAAACATTATGTTCTTAATTAGAAATACATGGAAAACATTGATTGAAACTGTGGGGGCTTACATTAGAAAACAAAGACATAAACCATTGTAGTTGAAACAAATTCATAGGTTTAACAAAGACCCACTGACAAAGATTAGCTAAACATTTGGTTTTCCATAAACAAAAATCTTGCCAATACCTGCCAAAATCTCATTCAGATTTGCAATATCCTCAGAATTGGTCTTCAGTTCTTCACGCATTTGTTTGATCAATAAATCATGGTGTAAGCCATCATTCTGCACAAACCGAATGATGAAACCCAGAAATTCAAAGAGTCTAACAATAATACCAATTCATAAACCCAGAAATTCAAAAAGAACAACAATTAAACAATTCATAAACTCAGAAATTCAAAAAGAATAACAATAAAACTATTCATAAAATTACATTAGAAACTTGTTTTTGTGTTAGAATTTGTATTACTGGTAAAACTATTTAAATAAAAGAAGAAGAATACATACACGAACTAAGTAAAAATAAGAGACGAAACAAAATTAAGAAAATGAAATAGATATCAAAAGAAAAAAAAATTAAAAAGAAGTTGAACCGTTCTAGGTATTTAGGCTGTTGACAATAAAAAAAAAGAAAAAAAAAAGAAATAGAAGTCAAAGAAGATGAAGAGGAAGATGAGGAAAACGAAAAATAAAGAAGAAAAATAAGAACACAAGACTGATGAAAAGAAATTTCAAAAAATACAAGGACAAAAATGTTGAAGATGTAAAAGAAGACTAAAAAGAAAAATAACAAATTATGATAATATGAAAATAGAAAATGAGTCTTATAAAATCAAGAACAATAAAAAGACAAATATAATGAATTAACTGTTTAAAAATGATATTCCGTGCAAAGCATGGATTATAAATCTAGTATATGATAATTAGTCTTTTTTTTTTTTGTCTATGTTCATCAGAACACCATTAAAAAAAAAAAAAAAAAATAAGATAGGAGTCAAATTTTCTCCAAAGGCCAAAACTTTCGGCTTTTACCAATTTCAGCATGTAATAACGTTGGTAGCAACCTCACCCTTCCGTGTGATACTCTACCTCTGTCTCTCTTTACACTGTAACTTCAGCTTTCCTTTCTGACTTCACTCTCGCGTAATGATGATCAAGTAAGGGTGCTGTTCCTCTGGATCTTTCTTCTTCCTCGACCAGCCACCGTTTTTCCACTCTCACCGCCTCCACTTGAAGAGATCTCGTCGTCCGACTAAAGGAATGATGATCTCCGACGCCGTTTCAAAGCCTGTGAACCATCTCTTCGCATCTGAACAAAAGAGGTATCGATTACGAGTTTCTCCGTCGCTACATTGCTTAGCTCTTTGTGTTTCTGTTTCCGATTTTACCACATTTTAAAGTTTCTATTTTTGGTATGAAGTTGTGCTTTCTCAGACGGTAGCTGCTCTCGACTTGCTGAGAGCTAAATGCCGTTTATTTCTATTACTAACTGTGTTTTTGTTACCGAATTTATCTTCAAGTCCGTTCGTTGGTTTCCAAATTAGTGCTGGATTTTTCCAAGACATGTAAAATTGAAAGCATCTAGTGATCAAAAATGCATTTTTGTTTCAATGGATTGCAATAAAGTACTAAAATTACCGAGCTTTTTGTCTGAATTATGATCGGTTTTAATAACAGGGATGCTTATGGATTCTCTGTGAGGCCTCATCATGTGCAAAGATACCGAGAATATGTTAAAATCTACAAGGTTGTCTCTCCTGGAAATTTTATTTTCTACTCTAGGATATTCTCTTACTTTGTTTTTAGTGGACATTTACACTCTAAGACAGAAGGCTTAGGTTTGTCTTATATTTGGTGATCCCATTTAGAAGCTTTGTTACAGGGAAAACCATGCGTGAAAGACATCAGAAGTGGACTAAACTTAGTATTTCACGCTTTAGTGGCCCTGATCAAATGCTTGAGATATCTAAAGGCTCACCATGCCATAAGTCATTGTTGGTTCTTAAATGGTGGAAGCAGTTGCTGTCACTAGTTTCCTCTGATTTTTTACCTTCATCTCTAACTAACGCTGCTCCTTGCTGATAAATGCAGGAGGAAGAAGAGGAGAGATCGGACAGGTGGAACAGTTTCCTGGACGCTCATGCAGAATCTGGCGTACCACCTGCGAATAAAACATCTGAAAATAATCTTGTACATCCAGCTGAAAGTGATAGCCATAAAGAAGAGGGGTTAAACAGTGGCGCTGAAGGAAAAGATCTGCATACTGACTTGCCAGGTTCTGATATAACCCCTAGAGATGTGGGAGAGGAAGAGAAACATTCCAATGTGAACCGAGTTCAGTTATGGGCTGAGATCAGACCATCTCTTCGAGCAATTGAGGACTTGATGAGTGTCCGTGTCAAAACAAAGGGGGATTCTTCAGATGGCGAGCAAGAAGCTCAGAAATTGAAACCTTCACCTTCAACTGACGAGGTCAAGTCTTCAAATGGAGTAAACGAGACTGATTCAGAAGATGAGTTCTATGATGTGGAGAGATCGGATCCAGTTCAGGATGGTTCTTTTGCAGATGGTGCAAATGTCTCTAGCATGTCTGTTGCTGCTGATGCAACTTCCCTAGTATCTGCATGCCCCTGGAAAGAAGAACTTGAAGTACTTGTTCGCGGTGGTGCACCTATGGCTCTGAGGGGTGAGGTAATAAACCTTGTCATTGTGCATTATTGCCTTTTCTTGTTCTAGTTTGTTTATCATTCTCCAACTCTTGATATTTAGTTCTCATTATCTTCAATAATAATCTGAAAGTATGTATACAAAAATATTCAGCTCTGGCAAGCATTTGCGGGCGTTAAGAAACGCCGGGTCAAAAACTATTACCAAAATCTGCTAGCTGCTGATAGTCTAGGAAACGACATAGAGCAGGAGCATATGCAACATGCAGATGAGAAAGTTTCTAGTACAGACCCCCTCGCTGTTGTGGACAAATGGAAAGGACAGATAGAAAAGGTTAGCAACGGTATTATCCCCCGATACCTGGTTTTGAGCATCTCTAATTAGTGGCTCAGTGCTGGACTCCTGTTGATCTTGGTCCTTTTCCTCAAGTCGTTGCTTATTTCAAGTGCAGGATTTACCCCGGACATTTCCAGGTCATCCTGCTTTAGATGATGATGGCAGAAATGCTTTGCGGCGATTGCTAACTGCCTATGCTAGGCATAATCCCTCTGTTGGATACTGTCAGGTATTCGATTATTAACATTTTCACTCCTGTATTCTAGTTTAGTGTCATGCTCACAAAAATGAACATCTCCAGTTACTTAGTACTTTGTATAAAAAAAAATCATGTGCAGGCAATGAATTTCTTCGCTGCTCTTCTATTACTTCTGATGCCCGAAGAAAATGCTTTTTGGTATGTTCTGGAACTACTCTACAACTCGTAATATTGTTCGTCTATGAAAACCCAACTCCTTGGTTCTGTTTGAAGTTTGTGTATCTGTGGCTTCCTTTTCCTAACTAAATATTATGTCTGACTTTGAGGTCGCTGATAGGAATAATTGACGACTACTTCAGTGACTATTATTCAGAAGAGATGATCGAGTCCCAGGTAATAACATTAGTTGATTGTTTTTGCACAATGTTATTCTATCTTTTGGGGCTGCCTAGTGATAGCATCATAAACAAATTTACTTCTTCCTCCACAAAAGAGTTAATTACTTTTCGTTGTTGCTGTATTTGGATTCTTATCTCAGGTTGACCAACGAGTTCTGGAGGAGTTGGTTCGAGAAAGATTTCCTAAATTGGGTTAGTTTCTTCATATTCTTGTTTCATCTTACCAAATCTTTGCAGTTGGTGCTAATGCTCTTTGTGATTTCTATACTTTTGCAGTTCATCATCTAGATTATCTTGGAGTGCAGGTGGCATGGGTTACAGGGCCATGGTTTCTTTCCATCTTCATCAATATGCTTCCATGGGAAAGCGGTCAGGTTTTAAACTTGATCTCGTCAATATTTTTTGTTACGTTTCTCTTTGCTGTAAAAAAGTTGCCATCTTTAAATATTCCGACTATCAGTCTAAAAGATACTCTTTTTTATAACAGTTCTCAGAGTGTGGGATGTACTTCTATTTGAAGGAAATCGTGTCATGCTTTTCAGAACAGCACTTGCATTGATGGAATTTTATGGTACTCGGTGATCTAAATGTCCATATGATATATGTGATTCGTCTTATGGACTTTTCTGAACATACCCGTAATAATCAATAAAAACTGCTCTAAATTTCTTATGGTTGCCATATCAGGTCCTGCATTAATTACAACAAAGGACACTGGAGATGCTGTTACTTTGCTACAATCAATGACTGGCTCAACATTTGATAGCAGCCAGCTCGTTTTCACTGCTTGCATGGGTTACCAAGATGTACATGAAAGTAGATTGCAGGAATTAAGAAGCAAGCACAGGCCGGCTGTGATAGCTGCATTTGAGGAAAGAATAAAGGGGCTTCAAGCTTGGAGGGATTCGAAAGGCCCTGTGACCAAATTATATGATTCCAAGCAAGACCCAAAATCCGTTTTAGTGAATTCTAGCAAAGCCTCATTGTCAAATGGGAGTTTGTCTCGCTCTGAATCAGGATCCAGTTACGCAGACGAAGTCTTGATTAGTCTGACTGGGGATGGAGAGACAGATGATTTTCAAGATCTTCAAGGACAGGTACTTAAACTTTGTGTCATATTTTCTGTTGGGTTGGAGATGCCACCTTTAGGAACTTGAAAGATAATTGCAATAACAACTTATAATAATAATATTTGCCCACCTCATAATGTTTTTGTTTAAAAGCGTATCATCAATTTCTCCAGGTTCTCCGACTGAAAGCTGAACTCTGCAATTTGCTTGAGGAGAAAAGATCGGCTTTACTAAGGTTAATCTCGTAGCTTAGTATATGACTATTGGAATCATGTGTGAAATTTTATATATCTCCTCATTATTCCTCGATCACTTCCTATGTTCTTGTAGAGCTGAAGAGTTGGAGGTAGCTCTCATGGAGATGGTCAAACAAGACAATCGGCCTCAACTGAATGCTAAGGTATTCCCATATGTGATTTGAAACTCTGTATTCTAATTAAGCATATGGGTGTACATTCAGTTTTTCTTTATCTATGCTGTCATGAATAAGGAAGATTCTTGCTCCTTCTATTTGAGATCATCTGACTTTCCCCATTCATGAATTTTGTGTAGATTAAACAGTTAGAGCACGAGGTGACAGAGCTTCGAAGACTTGTTTCTGATAAGAGGGAGCAAGAAGGTGCGATGATACAGGTTTGCATTTGCAACTTGTTTACTTCTCAAATTAATCTATTCTCTTCTGTATTCTAGCGCAATTCAATGTATGGTAGCTCTAAGACCTCTTGAGAATTATGAAGGTCTTGATGCGGATAGAGCAAGAACATAAGGTAACAGAGGATGCACGGAGACTTGCTGAGAAGGACGCAGCAACACAAAGATATGCTGCTGAAGTGCTTCAGGTTAGAAAGTTTGCATTGACTACTATTAATGAGGAAAGTGTGTTTGCTAATATGTTTGAAAGAGCTTTAACTACTAGCCTCTGATTTTGTGTATGTGTGTGGTCTACTAACTCTCTGATTTATCCACTGACTATCTACTTGCTATAGAAATAGCTACGCCTATTGATTCCTTCCTAGAATTGGAGCTTGCCTGTTCTTTAGAATGATACCTTGTGGCATGGTTACTTTGTGGAGATGTCATCTTGCTATTGTTTATATGTGTCAGTCTACACGCACTAGAGAAGGCAAAACAACTTACAAATGTTGTTTTATCCCATTTTTACTCAGTATGATAATGATAATGGCTGTAGGAAAAATATGAGGAAGCTGTTGCTGCGCTTGCTGAGATGGAGGAGAGGGCAATAATGGCAGAGTCCATGTTGGAGGCGACTTTGCAGTATCAATCTGGCCAAGTTAAAGCACAACCTTCACCACGGTCTGTTTCTTTTGGCATCTTTCATGTGAACTTGGTGTAGAAACTTGTGTATAACAGTAACACCATTTGTTTTCTAGAAATTTTCAGGCAAGTGAAGAAAGATTTGCCGGTCATGACCAGTCCCTAGAATTTGATCAAAGTCTGTCTTACTCTTTTTCCCACTAAGGAAGCAAGTAATGACGAGAAGCGATCAACATTAAGACACAAAATACAAACTTTATACACGAAGAGCATGATAAGAATCTGTTAAGGTTATAAATTATACGAAAATTATGGATTAGCTTTAGACCTAACTAGTAGATGATACATTGAATTACAGTATGTAATTTATTTGTTAAGCCTATAGAAACAATTCGTTGTGAAGTCAACACTGTTTGTAGATTATTCAAACGTGAGATAGATTGACCAGGCTTAAGTCCTCATAGTTCTCATATGTATTCAAGTCGAAGCCCACATTAGTAAGGCCCATTTAATTTTTAATACTGATCAAAATTAATCAAACTTAAAAGGCAGATTCAATTGTTCGAACCAAAAAAAAAAGTAGATTCAATTGAGCCATAATACAGATCCACTCACTGTACAAATTTTTATTTAGCTCTTGAATTTACCGGTGATCGGATCGGCGATGGATGGTGGCGACGATGTGGAATCTCTGTTCGAGGGGATGGAACTTTTTACGCCGTCGTCTCAGTTCGCCGATGGCAGCGACAATTCACCTGCAACTTTGCCGCCTTCGAAGGTGGCGGAGGCGACACCGATCACGACTCCGCCGGCAGAGGTGACGGAGACGATGCCTGAGGCTCTGGATGAAAATCTGTTCTCCGACTTAACGATAGTGAATCCGGTCCAACACGCAGCTGAGCCCCTCGACGCAGTTACTCATCCATCCCCGTTGTCGTCTTCTTCTTCCTCGGTGAAGAATTATGGGCGTCAGGTGTCGCGGAGGAAGAAAAGAGCCGCTGGATTAAGAATCGGATACGGGAGGCACGAAATCAACGAAGATGAAGATGATGCCGTCAGTCAACAATCGGCTGATTCCGTCAGTCAACAATCGGTTGATTCCGTCAATCAAGTATCGGATTCCGTCAGTCAACAGTCGGATTCCGTTAATCAAGTATCGGATTCCGTTATGCAAGTATCGGATTCCGTCGTTGATCAGCCTTCTCTGGACTCTTCTTCTGTTGGTAGCTCGGGGAGGTTGGAATTAGTCAAGGCTCAGATCGAAAGGAAGCTAACCCGTGCTCGGAACTTGGCCGGATCCGTTACTGCTTCTCGCAAGAATGCCATCAGGAAGAGAAGGCAAGCATCTGAGAATCTCAGGTTAGCTTCCACAACGCACGACGAGCTCGAGAAACAGCTTGAGGAAGCAATTGAGGCTGAGGATTTTGATGCCGCTGAGAGGATTAGTGAAAGCCTCGCGGCTGCGGAAAGAGATAGGCTAACTCTCATGACACTGCTCCGTCAAGCAGAATCTGATTGTGATGCCATTGAATCTAAGATGGAGGAAGTCCTCCTTGCTCAAATTGCCGCTGAAGAAGAATCTGCCTCTCTGCTTCGTAGATTTTGCAAGGTATGTCACCAAGTCATTGTTGTTCATTTGTTCCTTACGTTAGTGGAAACTGAAAAAAGGTCCAAGGTATGAGATATTTATAATTTTGCTATGACTGTTATATCTATAGGATGCTGAGAATGACGCTGAATCAATTCTGGAGAATGCAGAAGCTTTTTGTTTAGAGGAAATGGGGAAATGGCATTCATGTTCTGAGGATGTGGATGTCAGAAAACTTGAACTGGATATAGAATCTGTCATAGTTGATAACGTACGGTTGTCATTGAATGGTACTCTTGAGGGATCGGTTGAACAAGAGATGAAAGAAAAAGAGATGTTGCATAAAAAGAAAGAACATTTGTCAGATGAGCTTCAGGAGCTACTTGCTCTGGTAAAGGCAAAGGAGAAGGAGATTGACGAGAACGACTTCCAAATAAAGGAAGTTGAAGAAAGAATTAATAATGTGGTCTCTGGCTACAAGGAATTGCAAACAAGCCTGGATAAAATGTTCAACAATGTGCAAGCGGGTCTCTCCCAGATTGATAGGGAAACTGAAGCTTTATCAAAGAGAAAGACAGACATGGACACGTTTTTGGCATCTGAGAAGGAGAGAGGGGCCAAACTCCGTGATCTTGTCACTGTTTCAGCAGATGAAGCATATGAATATGAGGAAGTTATTAAATTGCGAAAATCTCTGATGTCTTATGTCTCAAAAACTAGAGAAGAGAGAGCCAAGCTTGTAAATATCGAAGAGAAGCTTTCTGAGGAAGTCCAGAGGCTACAGGAGGAGGTTTCCAGTACCCGAGAGTCAATAAAGGTTTCTCTTTACTTTCTCTTCTTCTTCCTTCTTTGCTGCAACATCATATATTATGAATCTTGTTCCACCTTTATCATGTTTGAACAAGATTATACTCAAGGAAATCTATATATAATTATTTATCAACATAAGTGCATATAATTACTTATCCGCAATTTGCTCACCTATTGCTTCGAGAAAAAGGTTCTTCATGACTATAAAATAATATGGCATTGCATCATGTAAACATCTTGTTGCAAATTCAGTGTACATTTTTAGTTTAAAGTATCTGTCACTAGTATTTTGTATAAGTCCTTATCAATCCCGTCTCTTTGTTTCCAGGAGCAATCTTCTAGAAAGTCGATCATCCAACAGAATATTACATCTTTCATGGATAAAATCATGTTCATAGAGAAAAGGATGCCGGAGCTTGAAGCAGAGAAGAAAGTGGCTGCCTCAACGAGAAATTTCAAAGAAGCTGGAAGAATAGCTGCAGAAGTTAAGTCGTTAAATCTAGAAAAGGATAGGATACAGATCGAAACAGGAAAAGCTAACGCTGAGCTCGAAAAAGCAGAGCATGAGATTGAAGAAACCATCAAGAAGCTACAGGAGTTAGAGAAGTTGATTTTGTCAAAAGAAAAAGAATTGGCTATCAGTAGATTCCAGAGGTTGCGGATTGACAGTGGCACTGCAAAAGCCGAGAGATCAGCTGCTCTAGAGCTGAGCGACCTTGAAGAAGCTAATCTTCTGCTTGAGGAAGCACAGGAAGCAGAATCCGAAGCAGAGAAGCTTAAACTCACATGCGGTCTCAAAGAGGAAGACGAAGAAGAAGAGGCAAAATCTGGTGAAGGTTTTGTCTCAATGGAACTTATAGCCACCTTCGGTCTGAAAAAATTACAAGAACTGGCAGAATCTGTTCCGTCTTAACTCTGAAGCTGCTTCAGGTTCGATTGTAGAGACTAAAGGCGCGCAGAGATGATCAAGGAAAAGATTGAAGCGGTTTTGTTGATTCATCATCCTTTACTTTACTCCACATGTATCATTTTGTTTCTGGGATCCATGTTTGATTGATTGCTTAATGAAAGAAAAGAGTGCAAGCTTGTTCAAGCAACCACTTGCAAGTTGCAGCCCAATAATGAATACCTTTTCTGTCAAGAACCGAACTCTTTGAGTTTGGTTTGACAAAATGTTTGGTTTTGCTTTTGCTTTCTGTTCAGATTTAAAAATGTATCATGTAAACTTGGTGTATATCAAAGAAACTATTCCCAAGCACTTGTGTTACTCTCTGTACATTATGACACCATTTGTCAAATTTTCACATATTTTCAAAAGAACAAATCTCAAACAAGGAAGACAATAGAAGCATCGGTTCCAATTAAAGGAGTCATTTTCAACTCTCTACGGTGGACCAGAATCCACAAAAAAACAGCTTCACTATATAATATATGCTTCACTTGTGGAGTAACAACAATGGGACATGTCTCTTTTTATTCACTATCTTAACCGTATATGCACGAGCAGGATTCCTCGAGCAAAAAATGTATAACAAGTTGTGGATTCAATAATATAATCCAAAGAGAGAGAGAGAGAGACAGAGAGACTAGGCTGTCGCAGACTGTTTATCATAAAGGTCTTCAAGGTGTAACGCTCTAAGAAGCCTTGGCCATGATTGTGGGATTCCACCTGGTAATTCAAACTCCAACAACTTTCCACGCTTCCTGTAGAACTCCTCCACTGGTTGAGTCTGTGAAACAGGACAAACATCTAAACATTGTTCTTTCCATGAAAGTTTGAGCAAGTTCATGTCTGAAAGAAGAAAAATATACCATTTTGTTGTAAATCCGAAGTCTTTCCTTGACAACTTCTTCCGTGTCATCATCTCGGCTTATAAGCTTTGATTCACAGCTTGGTGGAGGAAGTAGCGGAGGCATATACATTCTAGGACTACCATCCTCACCTTCGATATCAATGCACGCAACATTATAATTTGCTCCGCATTCGCTGCAAATTCTTCTTCCTAGACATTTCGCCAGTAATGCCTCTTCTCTTAGCTTCAGGTTGATCACTAGATCGATATTAGTTACTCCCTCAAGTATTTCCTATAAGACAAAGGAAAAACAGAGAGGCTGTCAATGTTTTTCAACCAAAGGAACCTTCATTATCCTCAATCTACAAAGCAATAGATTGTTCACCGCTTGTGTCACGGTTCTTGGAAAACCATCAAGAATATATCCAGATTCACCCTTCTCTTTGGCAGCTTCGAGACGCTTTGATAACAAACTTATTATGAATTCATCAGGAACCAACTTTCCATGGTTAACAAGCTCCTTTAGCTACACCAATGCAGAAACGATTGACAAACGATAAGCATCTAATAACACACATGTGACTGGACAAAACTCTGCTGATATACAGCCATCTATTATTCAGAATAAGGGTCACGTTGCAGGGCTTCTCTAGTGCTAAAATACAGTCTCTTAACAATTTTTCCCCAAGAAAAACTAATTGAATTTCGTTTGATCCGTATTGGAAAAGTAATTCCAATTTCAGAGAAGCTTAGGGAAAATTTAAGGGTGAGATCAGAGGTGGAGATTGAGCACTGTTTCACAGCAGACTCAATCCAAGATTATGCTGCTAGCTTTATTCAGGATCATCGAACATAACATTAAAACCTCAGGATCATAGAATCCATTGAGTGTGATTCCAACATAGAGAAAGAACAAAGATCATATACTGTAGATACTTAAACTGCTACAGAAATTAATCCCAAAAATAAGCCCAAACCTGAGAGGAGAGGAGTCCAGAAGAGGAGAGCTCATCGCGAACGAGATCACCAGTGGCAATATGAGGAACACCGAGGAGAGAAGAGAGGCGAGAGGCATACGTCCCTTTACCAACTCCAGGGCATCCAAGAAACACCCAGTGAAAGTTTCTTCCTTTGGACGGAGACGGAGACGGAGACGGAGAGGAAGACTTCTCTAGCTGAGCCGCGGCTTCCTCGAGATCGATCTCAGGGTCCAGCGAGGGCCCATGCGAAGAAGAAGAAGAAGAAGAAGAAGAAGAAGAAAACGACCGAATCAAGAAAGAAGAAAGAGTATTCTTCGCCGGCGAGTGCAGCCTGAAGAGACGGTGAGAAACCGCCATGGAGAAAACAAGGTGAAGAAGAATGAAATGATTGTTGTGTGCATCGTCCGAGGTCAAGGGAAGAGAGGATTGATGAAGAAAGAAAGAAATGTTGCTTTTTTTTTTCCTTCTTTTTTTGTTGGCTCGTGAGGAACACGTGTCCTGTCTTTATGTCACTGTTACCGTGTTACGGCTTAAATATATATTACCGGATCGACCCGGTGATATTGGGTCTTATCGACCCGTTTGGGATCCAATTCTCAAAGTGTCGTTCGCCAGTTTATTTGCAACAGCTCTGCTCCTCTGCAACACAGACAGTCGATTATAATAAACCTAAGTCCGATCGAAAATAGCGATTCACTTGCCTCTAATTTCCCGCGGATTTATCTACCTGAACCCTAATGGATCATCAAGAAGAGGAAACCCACAGCGAGAAACAAAACGACGAGGTTGGTTTTCGATTTCCGAGATTATTTTGCTCGAGGAAATTGAAATAATGATATCTTCCTTAGAAACTTTTCTCTTTCCCGAAACTTTATCTCATGCTTTAATTCGATAATTGTTTCCTTGTTTTTGGTTAATTACAGGAAACTCTTGCTCGCCTTGAGGAGATTAAGAAGTCAGTTGAAGCTAAAATGGCTCTTCGTCAAACTAACCTCAATCCTGAACGTCCTGGTTTGTTTTTCTTTCTGGAAATTTTATAATTTAAAGAGAAATTTTGTGCTTCCTAATGACATGATTCTCTATGATTAGACGAGCTTACTTAGGTGGAATTGATCATTTAGGGTATTCACTATCTTCTGTCAATGGTTGAGTACTTAAATTTGTAAGCTTGTATGTAGCAGCCGGTGTCCTTGTTACTGATATAGCCCATTCAGGGTTTGGAAGCCCACGACTTTGGATAATTCTGTTTTTAGAATCTGTAGTTCGAGTTGTTACTGAGACCGAGCCCTCCATGTTGCAGATTCAGCATATCTTAGGACTCTGGATTCTAGTATTAAACGCAATACAGCAGTTATCAAGAAGTTAAAGCAGATCAATGAAGAGCAGCGAGAAGGGCTGATGGATGATCTGCGAGGTGTGAACCTTAGTAAATTCGTTAGTGAAGCAGTCACTGCCATTTGTGAGGCCAAGCTCAAAAGCTCAGACATACAAGCAGCTGTTCAGGTTGGCCTTGCTGTCTCCTATCTTGTTCTTTTGTAATCTATAATGTATTAACGTCGACTTTGCTCTTATGACTCTATTCTTCTCTTTAAGTATTCAGGAAAGTTCTCTTTGTATCTTGGTTTCTCTTTATAAGTAAGATATGTGTGTACTGTTAGGATGTTGCGGATTAGAGTAGATCAAAGATCTTTTTTTTCTTATGCTATTCATGCAACTCTTGTGATCGACATGTCTCATTGAGATTTCAATAGTTATTGTCTTTGTTTCAACGGCTTCGTAATTCATTGGACTGCTTGGTATGTCAGATCCCCTTAACCTAGTTTAAGTTTCTGTTGAAATATACCTTGTCCTCAAGGTTTAGATGATAACAGGGTCTCTTCTCAGTTTGTTATTTCTTAGGGGCATAAGAAATAGCATAAAACGATGCTCCTTTTTTTCACAAGCCTTCTAATTTTTCTGATGTCCATGTTTTCTGACAGATATGCTCACTACTTCATCAGAGATATAAAGAATTTTCTCCCAGTCTAACACAAGGGCTCTTGAAAGTCTTCCTTCCTGGAAAACCTGCCGACGAGGATGCAGACAGAAACTCAAAGGCCATGAAAAAGCGCAGTACCCTAAAACTTCTTCTGGAGCTCTACTATGTTGGAGTAATAGAAGATAGTAGCATCTTCATCAATATCATTAAGGACCTTACCAGTGCTGAACATATGAAAGACAGAGATACTACCCAAACAAATTTGACACTTCTTGCCAGTTTTGCTCGGCAAGGAAGAGTTTTTCTTGGGCTTCCTATTTCTGGGCAAGACGAAGATGTAAGTAGGTTCCAAGAATCAGCTGAAGTTTTATTCCCTGTATTTGATGAGTTTAATCTGTGCCATCCCCCAGCTCTATTAACATATATCTTACAAGATATCGTTGGTATTTAAAGTGGTCTGATTTCTTTGAGTGCTACTAATTCCACTCCAGCTGTTCATGAGTATTGTCCATATCTGATATACTTTTTCGTATAAAGCTAAATCTGACTAAGGTTTACTCTAGTTTTTTAAGGGCCTCGACGTCACTGCAGAACAGAAGAAGAATTTTAGGAAAGCTTTCAACACATACTATGATACTCTGGCAGATGTACTTCAGTCTGAGCACAAGGTTAGATCCTTAATTGTTTGCACATGTGCAGAAACATTCTATAGATATCTTTCTTTCTTGATATTGAAATATTATCTCGTTTTCTTTTCTTTTTTCCATTTTGCTAGTTTCCCATTTTCTGTAGTATCTTCGTAATACTTTTTTGTTTGACAGTCACTTCAACAAATGGAGAAAGAAAATGCAAAGCTGGTAAATGCTAAAGGGGAACTTAGTGAAGACAGTGCATCTTCATATGAAAAGCTGAGGAAATCATATGACCATCTCTATCGAAATATCTCATCGTAAGTTGATCATTCGTAAAACTCAACTGGGATTTCCTGTTCTCGTTATACTGGAACATATAATATAATAGTAATCATTTTATCGATGAGTATATTGGGATTTTAGTTTTACTATAATGTTTGAAAAGCTAGTTATGTATTATTAATGTCTTGTTGCAGTTTGGCCGAATCTCTTGATATGCAGCCTCCTGTTATGCCAGAGGATGGTACAACTAGGCTCACAGCAGGGGACGAAGCCTCATCCTCTGGTGCTGTAAAAGATACATCTGTCCCCGAACCAATTTGGGACGACGAAGATACCAAGACATTTTATGAGTGCTTGCCTGATCTAAGGTTAGCTCTTATTTATGTTCCCAAGAAACAAAGATATGGGAAAATAGTTTGCAAGTGGCATTCGTAAAGCATTCAATTTCTTAGAAGTCTGGATTATTTAGTTCAATATAGCGTTTACTCTTCTTTTTTAGTGTTCAATTGCTTATTTCAGATGCATTGTTTCTGTAGGGCATTTGTTCCAGCAGTCTTGTTGGGAGAAGCCGAGCCTAAATCAAATGAGCAATCTGCAAAGGCAAAAGATAAATCATCAGTGAGTGGATGGCATACTACATTATATTCTGTCACTCTTTCTCTCTTAGAATAGAAGAAGAAATATACTGTTGCTGCTATTTGAGAACGTGGATGGTGTTCCTTTTTGATAGACTGTGAATTGAAGGGCACTTGATTGATAATGTATGGCTAAATTGTCTACCTCAGAATGACATGCTTTGCTTGTTGAAAGATTTGTGCTGCATATTTAGCCATTGTAAAAAAACAAACTTGCGTTGTTTTATATAAATCCTGCAATACTGATTCCATGCCTATTGATCGAAGGAGTCTAGCTCTGAAGTTGTCGAAAGTCAACAAACAACCGAAGATACAACGGATGTTCCTGCTGATTCTGGTAATATGGCTGATGGATCAAATATTGAGCAGCCGCAAGAGAAGGAAGAAGTAGATAAGGAAAAGGCTAAGGATGCTAAGAAGGAAAAAGGGAAAGAAAAGGATAGTGACAAGAAATTGGAACATGAGAAGGAGAAAGGTAAGAGCCTTGACGTGGCAAACTTCGAAAGATTGTTACAGCGGCTTCCTGGCTGCGTAAGCCGTGATCTTATTGACCAGCTAACGGTAAGAGTCCTTGAAATGGTTTTCAATTCAACATTGTTCGGCTGAACGTCATTTCTGCTCCATTGTTTACTCATATTGTTATATTTCCAGGTCGAATACTGTTATTTGAATTCCAAGACAAACAGAAAAAAACTTGTCAAGGCGTTATTTAATGTCCCTAGGACATCTCTAGAGTTGCTAGCATACTATTCGCGTATGGTTGCAACACTAGCAACGTGCATGAAGGACATCCCTTCTACGCTGGTGCAGATGTTGGAGGATGAGTTCAATTCTCTGGTCCATAAAAAGGTAAGTAATTAGTTTTACTTTCAAGAGATTTGATTATTACTGCACTTTAATCCTTTGAGCAGGAGTGAAATCAATTCACTCTGTTGATGTGAATGCCTCTGTTCTCAACGTGGCTCCCAACATTCCATTATGAACGGTGTTCAAATTTGATAACATTCTGTCTGATGGAGTTGCAAATTTAATTTTGTGCAGGACCAAATGAATATCGAAACAAAAATCCGGAACATCAGATTTATAGGAGAACTCTGCAAGTTTAAAATTGTACCTTCTGGTCTTGTATTCAGTTGTTTGAAGGTATAACTGCTCAAACCATCAACACATGCATTCTATAGAGATGTTTATTTTCTTGAATTCTCTGAAATATGTTAGGTACTTTTTAATTATATATTAGGTACATTTCAGTTATATATATATATATATTAGGTAAGTTTCACTTGAACCCACTTACTGGAGATCAAAAGTAACTGTATGGGGATAAGGATGCTATCTGCTATCATTTCTGCCGAAACTCTAGCCATCCAACTCGAAAAAAATTTCACTTCCCAATTATGTTTGCAGGCCTGCTTAGATGAATTTACTCATCATAACATTGATGTTGCTTGCAATCTTCTGGAGACATGTGGCCGTTTCCTTTATCGGTCTCCCGAAACCGCACTTAGGATGACTAATATGCTGGACATATTGATGCGCCTGAAAAATGTCAAGAACCTAGATCCTCGTCAAAGCACTCTCGTGGAAAATGCCTACTACCTTTGTAAACCACCTGAAAGATCGGCACGAATATCTAAAGTTCGCCCACCATTGCATCAGGTGCTTACTAATCTCCAAGTACTATGTCCTTTATGTTTTAAATATCCCATCGCTCAATTGTATTGGCGCCTTTGGTGTTTCTTATACTTTTATTCAAATTTCTGCAGTATATTCGGAAATTGCTATTTTCAGATCTTGATAAAGATTCCATTACGAATGTACTGAAGCAACTGCGGAAGCTGCCATGGAGTGAATGTGAGCAATACATCTTAAAGTGCTTTATGAAAGTTCACAAGGGAAAATATGGTCAGATTCACTTAATTGCTTCACTGACTTCTGGTTTGAGCCGCCATCATGATGAGTTTGCCGTTGCTGTTGTTGATGAGGTATGTTCTTTCCACTGTATCTAATAGACTAATACAGATGGATTTTCATATTTGTGTTGTCCGGATCTTTAAATCCTCTAAGTTCTTAAATTGGTTCCCACGTGTCAGAGAACTATGACTTTAGATGGTGTTGCATAAATGGTTTCTTCCTGTCTCTTGAGAAAACTATTCTAATATTCCCACTCTAACTTGGAGAAGTGAATTATGTGTAAAAGTTCTGGTTGATTTTACAAAATATGTAGCTTGTTCTCTTCCTGTGTAGTTATAACTGGAAAAGTATTGCTATATTAATAGCCATTTGGTTGTATGTGCAGCAGTGAAAAGGTCTAAGCTGCCAAAGTCCCTTTTTTAGTCAGAACTCGGTAGAAATGAAAGTTGCTGCCAAGTTGAAATAATATTGTTTCTTATGTGAACTTTAAGGTGTCAATAAAGCCTGAAATAGGCTTTCTGTTGCAAAATGGTTCGAAGGAGCATGCCTATAGGTTTAGATTCCATGTTTTATCATATCAGAACTGTGTATGGAGATGCTCTCGCACCATAAAATTTAATGCTTGGTTATGTCGTCTCATGAGTGAGTCTTACATGCTTGGGTTCTTCATTTCACATTTTCTTTTAAGGTATTGCATGTTTGTTGTCCGCGGCTTAGTATCACATCTGTTTTTTGATGTAACATGATACATTGTTTTCTCTTGCAGGTACTGGAGGAGATAAGGGTTGGGCTTGAGTTGAATGAATACGGGGCACAACAGAAGCGACTCGCCCATTTGAGATTCTTAGGGGAGCTGTACAACTACGAGCACGTAGATTCATCTGTGATATTCGAGACACTTTATTTAACTCTTTTATATGGTCATGATACTTCAGAGGTATGTTAGCCTCAGGCTCTTTCCGAGTTCATCCCTTTCTTAAATTCTAAATGATGCTCTTGCGTGTGGTTTTGCTTTTAAAAAATATGATAATCATAAGCGTCTCTATTCGGTGTCTATTCGTGCTTACTTTCTTTTTATGCATTCCTCATGTTATTTTGTATGCAGGCGTATCATGTTTTATATCGTTGTGGTATCTAGGCATATGTCATTTTGTACATATATGGTATCCTATGTTGTAAAACTGATTATATCTAATAAACTGATTGAAGCCAGAAGTCATATTTTTCATATGGAGAGACAAATGCTGTTTTTATCTTATTGAAATGCCACGTGTGGCTCGACTCTGCAGGATCGTTGCCTGACGTTTAATTTTCAGTCGTCCTTCTCTTTCACTGATTGACTGTTGTATATACATTTTTGATGTTAGCAAGAGGTGCTGGATCCACCAGAAGAATTTTTCCGCGTCAGAATGGTTATCATTCTTCTAGAAACCTGTGGGCACTACTTTGATCGAGGTTCTTCAAAGAAAAGGCTTGATCAGTTTTTGATAAATTTCCAGAGATACGTACTGAGCAAGGGTCCTCTTCCACTGGATATTGAATTTGACTTGCAGGTTTGTTTTTATAATTTTTGTATATTTTCACAAGGGACATGAGATAAGATATTTTCTAGAAGTGGATCCAATTTTCACTTTTAAGTTTTCAGGGTGTCTGTAACAAATGAATGTTTCTTAACTTCTGTCTCAACGCAGGATTTATTTGCCAATTTGAGACCCAATATGACCCGTTACGCGACTATTGATGAAGTAAATGCAGCTATACTCCAGCTGGAAGAGCGTGAACATGCTTCTTCAGCAGACAAAGTCAGTGTAGAAAGACATTCAAATACAAAGCCTCCAAGCAGGTCATCTTCCAATGTTAGCCTTTCTAACGGTAAAAGTACTGCAAAAGATATTGGAGAGAATGGTGAAGCTCACAAAGAAGAAAGCGACAGTGATTCTGGTAGTGGCTCTGTGGTCCGAGATGGACAGAACGAAGAGTTGGATGATGGAAATCATGACCGGGGATCTGAGAGTGACGATGGGGATGACTATGATGATGGCGTTGGAGGACCTGGATCCGATGATGATAATGAATTTCGCGTAAGGCAGAAGGTGGTAACCGTAGATCCTGAGGAGCAAGCGGACTTTGATCAAGAACTGAAGGCTTTACTTCAGGCAAGTCCAGATGTGGCCTTTTTTCTTTATGTAGATTGATGCATCTAATATATAAGTAATGAAATGTTTTGTGGATGCAGGAGAGCATAGAGCAAAGGAAGCTAGAATTACGTGGCAGACCGGCATTGAACATGACAATACCGATGAGTGTTTTTGAAGGATCTGGAAAAGATCACCATCACTTTGGGCGGGTTATAGGTGATAACGGGGAGGAAGTGTTGGATGAAGAGAATGGGGAGCGAAGAGAAGTTCAAGTGAAGGTCCTAGTGAAAAGAGGAAACAAACAACAAACAAAACAAATGCTAATCCCGAGTGATTGTTCGCTAGTGCAGAGCACAAAACAGAAAGAAGCTGCGGATTTGGAAGAGAAACAAGATATAAAGAGGTTAGTACTTGAGTACAATGAGAGAGACGAAGAGGAAGCTCATGGGTTAGGGACACAGATATTGAACTGGACACCTGGAGGAAGCAGAGGAACCACTCGTAGTTACACAGGTGAAGCAAGTGGGAAGGGTGGTGGATCCCGTCACCGGTTTGTTTATCATCAAGGAGGTGGTGGTTCTTATCATACTCGGAGAAAGTAAGATTTTTTCATTGTTGGTGGAACAAATGAGAGAATCTTGCCTCCTGTGTCAAAAGCGGTAATATATAGATGGCCTTTTCTATTGCCCAAAAGAACAGTCACAAGAAGCTTATAAATTTCTGTGATTTGCCACAAGGGGTTTGCGACGGAGTAATGTTTAAAACTCTAACTTGCAAATGAAGTAATGTTTCGGATACTTAATTTTTGAATCAAAATCTTTTAGCTTCGTTTTATGTTGGGTTGAAAAACGAACTGGGACAAGATTTTTATTTGTTTGTATAATAATTTATAACGTAACCAACTTATAAACTGCTGATAACGGGTGGATGGACCTATGTTTAACTGAAGTGGTTCAGAATATCAACGTTTTGATAGATACACAACAGAGAAAAACAAAAACAATAAAAAAAAACAGGAGATACCGATAACCAATCTACAGAATAGTCCGTTAACCGATTTCGGTTATAAGCATTCAACAAGTAATTGAAAGCTCGCGAATCGAGTCCAAAACCAAACCTTTGAGCCGAATCGACCAATTGGTTAACCACTACGCTTGGAATTAGCTGCGGATTGCACGAAACGAAGAGTACGAGCAAATTGCAGGCGCGATCGTAAGTCTGAGGAGAGCTAACCAGAATATGAATGAGTACCCAGAAGACATCTCTGCCTTGGCAGATTCGAGTAAATGACCTGACCCAATTGCAGTACTGAAGAGCCGAGACTGGGTCGTTCTTACGACCTAGAAGCACTTCGATTGCACGAGCGTCGTCCACATCATCGCACTGCAGATTCTGAAGCTCGAAGGTCGAAAACAAAGGTAAACGATCCGGTCAAGGGGTCAGATTGGGAAATTTCAGCTCTTGGATGATTTCACTTGGTATCTAGACTCCAATTATCGGGTGGATTGGGAAATCGAGACTGCGAAGAAAAGGGAAGAGGGTTTATCTAATTTGGAGAAAAAAAAAGGAAAACCTGAAAAATAGATAAAGTAGTATCTAGTTAAGGGAAGAACTATATAAAAATCTAAAGACACGAAAGAGCAGTAAAGCAAAGCACCAATTATGGGGAAAGAAGAAGCAAACCCGATTTCGATCTATATTGCTCCCGATCTACTGGAAGAGATATTTTTGAGACTTCCCCTTAAATCTCTGTTCAAATTCAAAACTGTTTCAAAAGAATGGAGATCGATACTGGAATCAAATATGTTCGTGGAGATGCATCTGAGTTTTCAAAAATCTGGTAAGAGCCGCCGGAAAATCCTAGCCGCTAACCACTGCGACTGTGGCGCCCCGCCAAGTCTCCTCCCCGGGGTGCGATTCGAAGGAGACGAAGAGGTTGTCTATTTGCGCTGCGAGTCGACACGACCGTCGATGAGTTGCGACGGTTTGCTCTGCATTCCCGAACCAGGTTGGGTCAACGTTTTGAATCCCTCGACCAGAGAAAGCCGCCGTTTTCCTTCCGGCCCAGATCCCGTTCCAGCCCCCTTGAACCGCCGCCGAAACTGCTTTTTTACGAACGGTAACCTATAATGAATATATGCTCGAAATTTTGCATTGATGATATTAAAAATCAAAACTTTGAAAAGTTTCAAATTTTTCAGGAGGATGGACGGCGTTTTTCCCGGGATATTGGTCGATGGGGTTTGGCAGAGACAAAGTTACGGGGAGTTATAAAGTAGTGAGGATGTTCTTTGATCATAACCATTGCGACGTCCTTGATGTCAACACTGGTGGATGGCGGAAAGTGAGTCAACCTCCATACGAGGTTGAAGCGGGACGAATATCGGCTTGTGCGAATGGCTCCATCTATTGGTTTGACATCTGGCGTGGTTGTAGGTTACTGGCCTTTGATCTTCACACTGAAGAGTTCTATGATGTCCCCCTTCGAGAGGGTATGAGATTCAAGATGGAAACTCAGATAGTTAACCTTGAGGACAATCTAGCTTTATCCACAGCCGTATTGAATAGTGATCATGAATGGGAACTAGAGATATGGACCATGGATGCAGAAGAAAGATGGAGCAAGACTTACTCCATCAGTTTAGCTTGTCTAGGTATTAAGCTATTTGAGCCTAGGTGGTTCAGGCCAGTGATAGTTTCTAAGCAGGATGATGTTGTGATCTATGATGATAAGAAACGTTTGTTCAGATATTATCAATGTACAAATACCATCCGTCAGATCTTTTCATATACTTGCGTCATATCTCGTTATCTCGAAAATATGGTCCGTCTTCAGAACGAACAAGTCGAACCAACGACTGAAATTGCATGCATCCGTGGAATAACACGCATCGGTCAGGTAAATATGTTTACAGTTAAGCTAGTGTTATTCTTGGTTGAAATGTGTTTATCTTATTGTTAACTGTTATATGATTCTTATTTGTAGGATGGAATTGCTTTTGCTCATCTTGTATCATCTTTTCCATCAAGAATTGATACGTTTCTTTGTAAGGGAAAATGTAAGAATCTTCTAACTGTTAAGTTTTTGATACCCTGAAGATTTACAACATTTATGATTGATGCAATCTTGTTGTTTGTAATTGACCTTGCAGGCTTAAGCGTTTTGGTCGTCCTTGCAACATTTATTTTTCTGTCCATTTGCTGTGTTACCGGTTTTGTGCTGGGGATACTTTATCTAGTGTGGCTAATTTAATATTTCTTTACTGGTTAGTTTGTTTTGGTGTTCGGGGCAACATCATCAAGGTAATTTATCTTCTATAGTTTAAACTGTGTTTGATGGTCTTTTTATGATTGCTTGGAAACATTTCGCTCCGCCTGTTTTTTCTTTACAGGCGGAGCGAAATAGAGGATGTGGATATGTCTTAAGTGGTTATGGAAATGTGCAAACGTGGACATCAATATTAACAAACACAGCTACCCCTCAGGTACATTTGTATGCATTAAACATGTGGTTTTTTAGGTGAGTATGGGAACGATGTGGGTAGGAAAATGTGGATATGCAGATATGGCCTTTAAAAAGTATACCTGAGAGAGGTAAAAATGTGGGTATGTAATATACATTACACTCACATTATCTGAAGTAAGGTTAAATTGTGTGGATAAAGACACGTGGAAGTGGAAGAGAAGAAAAAGTGCTATAAAATTAAATATTTTTGGAGCTATTTCCCCTTTGATAAGGGTTGATCTTTGTAATGTGCTGAATCTTTGATCCAATATATAACATCAGATGAAAAAAAAAAAAAAAAAAAGAAAGATACAAATACTACATCTTCAAGATACCCTGTCTATTTCAACTTTTCCACTCACGAGTATATCAAATATAGTATCATCCTGTACAAGACCTTTCTCAAGCATCTCAGCATGAAGTCTAAAAGCCTCATCAAGATTTCCTTCTCTATAATGTCCTGCGATAACAGCACTGTAAATAAGCACACTCGGAGTCGCATCTTTCTTCTTCATCTCCTCTAGCATCTTGCTTGCTCTCACAAACTGTCCCTTCTTACTAAGCCCGTTGACCAGTACCACGTACAAGATTTCATCAGGGACAATACCCAAAGCAAGAACTTCCGAGTACAAATCAGAAGCAAAGATCAAATTTCCGTCTTTTAACAACCCATCGATCAGCGTTGTATATGTCAACAGATCACAACTTATACCATCATTCACCATTTTCTTGTACAGGTCAATCGCTGCCTCCATGTTTCCTAGATTACGGAATCCTGAAATCAAACTATTGTAGACAGACACGTTCGGAACCAATCCTAGTTCCTGGAGCTCGGAGAACAGAGAAACTGCGGTTTGCATTTCATGCTTTTTACAGAATCCATCTATTAGAGCACAGTAAGCTGGAATATCAAGTTTCAGATCCTTGTTTTTCATTTCTCGTCTCATTTCAAGAGCTAGATCCATTTTGTCACTTTTGCAGAATCCGTTGATCAAGATGGTGAAGGTTACAACATCCGGGGAGATACCGTTTTCACTCATCTCTCTGTAAGTTAAGACAGCAGAATCGGTTTTACCTTCTCTGAAAAATCCATCTATGATGCTATTGTAACTCGTGCAACTCATGGAACAGCCCTTCTCCTCGATCAAATTTTGCAATATCTCTCGTGCTTTAGATGTCTGACCAGCTTTGCACAATCCATTGATGATTGTGTTATATACAACTTCACTAGCTTCAAACTTGGAAGAGATCATTTGATTGATGACATCCCAAGCATTCTTCTCATCCTGATTCTTGAAAAATCCATCAATTAAGATGGAATAAGTGAAGTTATTCGGCTCTAGAACCCTTTCAAGCATAACCGAATAAATCGAACGAGCCAAGTCCATGTTTTTCATTCTGCAATGAGCAAGCATCATGTTATTGTAAGAAACTACGTTAAGCTCAATCCCTTTATTTTCCATCATCCTCATTAAGCTCGTCGCTGCATCAACCTTTCCTTGCTTGCATAACAACTGCAAAATCTTGTTACACAGGAAACCGTGTGCAAGCCCTGTTTCATAACAGTCACTAAAAATCTCAAGTGCAGCTTCCGGCGACTCAACTTTCAAACACCCTTTGATCATCGTGTGGACAAGAACAGATGAAGGAGTGATCCCTACAGCTCTCATCCGTTTGTAAATCTCAACAGCTTTCTCCATCTTCTCGTTCTGACAAAACCATTCTATCATAACCGAAAACATAACTTTGTCCGGAACCAGCCCTTCCTGCTCCATTTTATCAAACAAATCCAAAGCCTTACCCAGCTCATTTCCCTTGCAATATCCTGTAATCAAACTCGTCGCGGCAATAACACTCATCTGTATCCCAAAACCAACCATCTCATCCTTAACCCTCACAGCCTCCTCCATGTTACCTTCCTTCACTAAAGCCACAATCACGCTAGTATATGTTTCCTGCGAGGGAGGAACACCTAACTTCTCTCTCATTTCTCTCAACAAATCCAAAGCCATAGCCAAATCCGGTACCTTACAAGCAGCTTGAACAGCAAGACTATACATTAAACTATCTGGTTCTGCTCCTCTACTCATCACTCTCCTAAAAATATTCACAGCCTCCTCGGGCTTTCGTTCTCTCAAGCTAGCTCGCATCAACAACTGCGTCGTAACGTTATCACCAGCAACACCAATCCCAACCATCTTATTATAAATCTCCTTAGCTTCATTTATCGAATTACTTCGAACTAAAGAGCTTAAAATGTTGTTCACATATGGCACAAAAGGAATCACATTTCGGTCCATCAATAGATTAAAACACTCTACAGAATAGTCCGTTCGCCGATTTCGGTTATAAGCATTCAACAAGTAATTGAAAGCTCTCGAATCGAGTCCAAAACCAAACCTTTGAGCTGAATCAAGCAATTGGTTAACCACTACGCTTGGATTTAGCAGCGGATTGCTCGAAACGAAGAGCACGAGCAAATTGCAGGCGCGATCGTAAGTCTGAGGAGAGCTAACAAGAATATGAATAAGTACCCAGAAGACATCTCTGCCTTGGCAGATTCGAGTCAAAGGCCTGACCCAATTGCAGTACTGAAGAGCCGAGACTGGGTCGTTCTTACGACCTAGAAGCACTTCGATTACACGAGCGTCGTCCACATCATCGCACTGATTCTGAAGCTCGAAGGTTGAAACCAAAGGTAAGCGATCCGGTCCAGGGGTTAGATTGGGAAATTTCAGTTCTGAGATGGTTTCACTAGTGGAATCGGCGGTGTCTAGACTCCAATTATCCGGTGGATTGGGAAATTGAGGCTGTGAAGAAAAGGGTTTGGAGTTTATCAAACGATAAAGAAGAAGAGGTGGACGGAATCGTTTGGAAGCTAAGAAAGTAGTCATTTTGGCTATAGCTTCAGCAGAGAAGAGGATCGGAGAAGAAGATTCAAGTCTCTAAACCCCAGCAAGGCTTAAACCGCTCCGCTTAAACCCTATAGTAAGAACGAAGCCTCGTCGCTAAACGGTGCCGTTTTACTTTAAAAGTGTATTTTGGGAAACTTTTTTTTTGGGTCATATAGATGTTGGGCAACTAATTCTAAAATCTTGAATCTCACACTGTGTTTTCTTTCATACTGTTTCGCGTGTACTTCATGTTCATGTAGTTTGATAGCATCGCTTTATTAACATAAAGAAATGTGTCCTCACAATACTTTGATAAAGTGTATAACAGTGTATAATAGCCTAATAGGAAGATGACTAATAAGTAATACCTAACGTAAATAGACTCATGTATGAACAGTGTAAATCCTAAAAGTGAATAATGTTTTTGTTGTATGCTAAATAGTTCTATTAGGTAGAAGTCATCTCATTTTCATCGTGTATGTTTTTCCGAAAATAAGAAATTTCGGTTTTTATACACGTAAAGATAACATATTAGAAGGAAACATATTTAGAGGGTCCTCTCCGAATGCAAGTAAAAAAGGGCTTTTGTTTTGAATGCATTCATTGAGTTTTATTTAGACTTATGATTGTTATTGTTTTATGAAATACATGTGCATAATATGAAGAATTAATTTTTGGAGGAGGCGACGTAAACAAACAAAAAAAATATTGATAATAAATCAATGACCGAATCATGGTTTGGAAAAACCAAAACAAAAAACAAAAACAAAAATACGAAAGCCAAAAAAGCATGAAAAGGTCTATTACTATTATGGTTAAAAAAAGGTTTGGTAGTATTTCTTTGGAGCTTTTATGTTCATCAGTTTTTTCCTATCTCCACTATGGTACTTGTTCGTCTTTTTGGTTTCAGAGCTGTCGATTCTGGTCGGGATCATAATACCCAACTTGACTCTTAGGTCTTGTTGAATCAACTTGCAGAATTACCGAATCCAACGAAAACAGTGAGCTAGATTATATTTACTGATATTGAAGGATTTTGGCAAACTCGCAATTTTGGATGTAGACTAGGTGGAGATAGAAATAGAAGAATTAAGGACAATAGATGGCATATATCTTTGGTATTTGTCATGTATTTGGCTATTAGCTACTGGCTACGTATCCGTTGATGAAAAGTAATAAAATATCACAAATTAGAGACTCGTAAATACGGGTCAAGCTAAGTAAGTTAAGTAACAATTATTAAATACAAATGTAATTAACATTCGTAAATAACAAAACTCTAAATAACCCCAAAAATCATCGAGGAAAGTAACATGCAAGTAGACAATTTTTTAGCTTAAAATTTCACATAGTTCATAAGTAGGGTAGGGATTACAAAATATTCACATGCATAAAAACGGATCAAGTAACAAATGTATCCAAAATCACGGGCTGGCTAAACATATCCTTAAATCATGGTTAAAAAAAAAATGAGAGAAGAAAATTTATTGCAGCAAATCAAAAGTGTATTCACGCGCAGCGACAAATGCGGAACAAAAGAACAAAAAAAATCAAAAGATTCAAATAGCTTTACATTCTTCTTTTATAACATCAACTGTTCGGATTTGTGTAAGACAAAAAAAGGAGCGAAGATTACGGGGACCAACAGTGACGTGGACCTCTTCCCGTCGGTGCCCAACCCACCAACTTACTCCACTGCTCACTTGTTCGAAATTTGTTCCTATTTTTTTCTTTAATTTGGTTTATAGGAGAATGTCGCATGCAACTACCATTTAATTATTGAGATGCACTAGGTTTTTTATTTCTTAATATCATCCACTTGATTCACATTAATAATAATTTAGTTCACCAACGTAAGATTACATTAGTAGAGAACTGACAATGAAATCTACAATAACACTAATTAACTGAATTAGTGTGAGAGAAACAAAGAACGTATGTAGTGTTTAGAAGTATTAACAAATCATTGTACATAAAATGTTTTGTTGCGTTAATGTGAATTGAACAGTAATCAGTTCTCTTCTTTTTGACGTCAATAATCAGTTCATTCAGGTATATCAATTCGTTATTAATTGATTGCTGTTGAGACAAGATTCCATTACACCAGTAAACATATTTTTAATCATTGTACTTCAGTTTTGATTTCCCCGTGATGGAAGCAAATTGTGTTTTTATAGGTGAATATGGAAAGCAATATTTGGAGATTAATTAAGTTTATTTATCGTTATAACTTTATAAGTAGCTAAGTTGCTAGCGATCATAAAGAGCAGAGAGAGCATCATTTTATTTCTCCTATAGCTTTCATAAATGATAGATTAAATAATTAGGACAATAGACGCTGGCAAGGACTTTGTTGATATCTTGAGACTTGAAGGAAGTTCATATTCTTCGAAGTCAAAAAACAAGTTGATCCCGTAAAAGTTTTAATACTATGACTATGATTATATCAATAATTTGGAGATGAGGGGAGTGAGAATAGTTTGGAAAAGAAGAAGGGTTATAGGAAGCTTATCAAATCTACATCCTTATATAACCGAGATGTATACTTGTTAATATCCCCTTAGCCTAATGTTTTGAATGGCAGAAAGTAACATACACATGCATTGTCATAGCTACTTACAATTTATCTTTCGCGGAAAACAGCTTCGTATAATCTGACATTCATATTGCAAACCTCTATACACTGAAAAATAATAAGAACACTCAGACAAATGGTTAGGCTCATGAAAACGGATATTATGTTGAGTTGTTTAAGCTAAATTTTGAAATTGGTTGAATATACTTCATACTTTGTCTGGTACAGCCTATAAGACAGTTACTCGCCGGTTCTTATCAGCTCGAGCTGGTCAAATATTAAATTTTTAAGATTCAAAGAATCGCTGAACATAGTTGCATGGGTTTTTTTTGTTTTGTTTTTTGCATTTATATTTGTTGTTGTCCGTAGCTTTGGGATATTTTGTTGTTGTCTGTAGCCTTGGGATATACCCTACTGCACATTTAATGAATAGGTTACGCATCTGTGAGGTAAAATCCATCCATACTTTTTTTTTTTAGACTTTTTCATAGTCACATTAGTTGTCTTAATTTAGGCTCCTCCTTCGTCCATTCGAATTGCTACACCTTCGGCCTGTGACCACATGTGGAGCCTTTTGACTTCCTTGACTTTGGTCAACAGAGCAATCATCTTACTCTTATGCACATAATATTTTCTCTTAATTACGAGTATCGATTTGAAAAAAAAAAACTAACTTGTGTGTATGAGTTTAGTCAAAATTCGGAAGTTTCAATAAAATTATTCTTCAAAACTCTTATAGGGTGAATTTGGTCGTTCGTCCATGCACATTATTGGACTCTATTAATTTGTTTTCTAATCAATTAAATTCTTCTAATTAATCATATGGTTATACATGTACAAAGAAAGATCTGCTGTATCATTGGTGTTTGTATTCATATGACACAAGTCACACAACCACCTTATTATCCCACCATTCATAAATTCATAATACATGATTATAAAATGACTTCTCAGCAAAACACACCTCAAATTCGCAATTCTTAGAATGATTGGTCGTTGTATAATACATCTAATTATTGTCCGGAATCTTAAAGAGATCGATGTACGTTACGTATCGTATGTAACTGAAGGCCTACTCGTATTATTCATGGCTCAATTCTCTGTTTTCTAAGTAACAAAAGTCACGCGTGAGATATTAAAGTCACTATAAAAGGAGATCCTTTGCATCTTCTGTGTTCTTGCTTGCTTTACTTCTTTCATCTCTTGCTTTTCCCTCCGTGATTTCTTGATTCTGTCCGGATCAAAGAAGACTCTTTTTGTCTTCTCAAGGCGGATTTATATAGAAATCACTTGCCTTTCTCTTGAAATTGTTTAGATGATTTAAGGAGGGAAAATAAGGAGAGAGAGAGAGAGAGAGAGAGAGAGAGAGAAGAAGACGAAGAAGAAAAGCATCGTTTTTTCTTTAACTTTGGCATTTCTCAAATGTTGCGAAGGAGACTGCTCATACTCTCTTTTTCTCGTGTTCGTAAGACAGATTAGAATTTTTGGTTTGTAGGGTTTTGTCTTATCTGGGCGATAATGCCTAGAGAGTGATTTATAAGATTATTAAATACTCTTTTTTTTATTTCTGGGTTGTTGGGTTTATCGCTTAATTACGATGCAAAGAGTACACAATAAACCAATTGATTCCATCGGAAAAACTCCGTCTGCCACCGTTAAACATCACTTGATCAAACAGAGCAACGGCGGAGTAACGGCGGCGGATATGCAGGAACCGAGCATCGAGACGGATAAGCTCAGCTACGAGATTTTCTCGATTCTCGAAAGCAAGTTCCTTTTCGGGTACGACGAACCCAAGCTCATGGAATCACGGAGCAGCTCCGATCAGGAAACGTCACCGGCGATTGCGGGAGCCATAAACGGCGTCGTTCCGGGATCGATTAAGAACCAGAGAGGGAAAGTCTGTGTTTTGAGCATCGACGGCGGAGGAATGAGAGGGATTATACCCGGAAAGGCTTTGGCTTATCTGGAACACGCGTTGAAATCGAAATCGGGTGACCCGAATGCCCGAATCGCCGATTACTTCGACGTCGCTTCCGGTTCCGGTATCGGTGGGATTTTCACGGCGATGCTTTTCGCTTCAAGCGACGGTGACCGTCCGATCTTCAAAGCGGATGACACGTGGCGGTTCCTAGCGAAGAACGGCAAAAGCTTCTACAAGTCACAACCGGGAAGGATACTAAACCGGGTCATGAAAACCGGGTCGAGTTCGAAGCTTGAGAAATCGATGAAGGACTCATTCGCTGAGCTTACGCTTAAAGACACGCTTAAACCGGTGCTGATTCCTTGCTACGACCTCACTAGCTCCGCACCGTTCCTCTTCTCACGTGCCGACGCGTTAGAAACGGACGGCTACGATTTCAAGCTGTGGGAGGTTTGTAAAGCCACGTGGGCCGAACCGGGAGTGTTCGAGCCGGTTGAGATGAGATCAGTGGACGGTAAAACGCGGTGCGTTGCGGTTGATGGTGGTTTAGCTATGAGTAATCCAACGGCTGCAGCGATCACTCACGTGCTGCATAACAAGCAAGAGTTTCCGTTTGTTAGAGGCGTTGAGGATTTGCTTGTGCTGTCTCTTGGTACAGGACAGTTGGTTGATGTGAAGTATGAATGTGATAAGGTCATGAAGTGGAAGGCTAAGCATTGGTCTCGACCTGCGGTTCGGATTTCTGCTGATGGAGCTGCTGATACTGTGGACCAGGCCGTTTCCATGGCGTTTGGTCATTGCCGGAGGAGTAACTACGTCCGTATTCAGGTATTATTAAGGCTTTTACTTGAGTTTGCTAATCTTGAAGCCATGTTTTAAGTTGATCAAGATTATGAATGTTGAATCTTTGTTATTTGTGTGGTTTAATAGGCGAATGGGTCAAGCTTTGGTCCGTGTAGACCAAACATAGACACGGACGCTAGTCCAAGCAATGTGAATATGCTGTTGGGAGTAGCAGAGGAGATGCTGAAGCAGAAGAATGTGGAATCGGTTCTGTTTGGTGGTAAGAAAATCAATGAAGAGAGTAATTTTGAGAAGCTGGATTGGTTAGCCGGTGAACTTGTGCTTGAACACCAGAGGAGGAGTTGCAGAATCGCTCCCACTGTAGCGTTTAAGCAATCCGGCGAGAGAAGAGCCGATCAGAAGACGGTGTTCAAGGATATTGATTGTATGTTTTGAAGAGATTCATCTTCTAATTTAAGGGTTTTAATTTGTATAGATTAATATCTTGAGTTCCGAGAAGAAAGCCAACATCATTTTCGAAGTAGGCCACTTTCTCGTATATTATAAGTCCTAAAGGATGTGTTATTTTTGCTTTGTTAAAATGTAATTTCTATTGACTCAGAAAGAGCTGCGTACGTTTATACTTAGATGAGTACCCCTGCGTGTGCGTGCGTTTTCTTTTTAATATTTTTATAATGTTTAAAACTGACGTTTAGTTTTATTCTTAAATTTCAGTTTACAATTCTTTCACTATATCACATATTTCACGTGTGAAGAATTCGAAGGCAAACATTCTAGCAAGAAGCTCTTGTGTCCACTTACAAATTATTATTTACATAAACTCGATATCTTCGGTTTGGGTAACCAAACCGTTCTAGGTATCTAAACTGTCGATCAAAAACAAAAAAAAACTGAAATTTAATTTAGATTTTTGTGATGTTAAAAAAAAATTTAGATTTTTGATTTTTTTAGACTGACCATATATATGTTTAGAGAGATTAGTTGTTAACTTTTTTTGTTAAAGTGATTTTGTTTTAATTAGTTTTTTTCTCGACTTTTTCTTTGGTTTTATGAAATCTTATCAGAAAATTTCTCTATTAAGAAACGTTGTCTTCAATTAAACGTGAAAAATTATCTTGAATATCATAAACAAAGATATGAGAATCCAGCAAATACTAAATATTATGATTATGAACCTAAGAGGTATATTCTCAAAATAAATGGATAACTTTATTCCATAAAGTTTTCATATTCTCATTGGCAAAACCGTCACAAACTCCACTAAAATTAGAAAAGTTAGAAAATAAATATAGCATGAAAATCTGTGATATTTCATATTATATATTATCTTTTGCATCACAGGTAGAGTTTGGAACTTTAGATAAGCATGACCAGCTATCGTAAAAGCTTACCAAATACGTCTTTCTCCATTTTCACCATCGGATTACTTTTTCCGCTCCAGTGGCTTTTTATTGCAGTACTTGGGTGAACCAATACTCCAACTCCAAGATCTGATATAAATTATATTTATCTTTTCTCCACAAAGATTTCTTTAATTATAACTCATTGAGACGAGATTTTTATCATTTCTTGTAAAAACATAGATATTAAAAAATTTACTAATGGATGTAATAAGTCTTTCAGAGTATTATTTTTCTCCCTTAAAATTTTCTATAAAACAAAAATAAATAGAATAGATAACTTACACCAACTTAACTTAAAACAAAGTTTTTAGAAATTATTATTATAGCTTCGTCGCCGAATTATTATTATTTTAGAAATTATTATTATAGTTTTGTCTTGCTATTTACTCTTCACAGAATTCTCGAAACCATCATACAAAATCTTTTTTTTAAAAGCAAAATTCTTCTTTTCCTTTAAATGAACACAAACGATGGTATTAAATGTAAATGTCTCTGCCCATGACCAAAAAATAAATCTTAGACCGTGGATTTGTGAATAACATTCATTTTAGTAAGCTTTTATATAGAAATTTGCATAAGTTACAACATGGAAGCTGTAGATTAGAGATTTATTAGAAAATCTTAGGTAATATTTACTTCTTTCCATGTCTTCTTCTCTATATTTGCTGATTATTTTTTATGCGTTGAAACATGAGTGACCAATATTTAAGACAACGTTTGAAGCATCATTAAGAATAGGAATCATCAAAAATGGGAGTCAAAAAGCCATGAGGCCTATGATGGTAAATAAATCAGTGCACAGAAAAATGAACATAAAAGTAATTAGCTTAAATTAATTAGCTTAAATTAATTAGAGTTTCACTAAAGTTTTTAAATAACAAATAAATGAGTTGTTGTGTCATGCTGATGTGTCAAGTTTGTGAGACTCAACTGAGTCTTTATATAATAGATATATATAAAAAAAACTTATATATATATATATAAAGTAGATAATCAGCACTAAGGCTAAGATTAGAGATTGAACAAATCAAATTTAGCCTTATAATCTTTGTTTCTATGTTAGTTACAGAGTCGTTGATTTTGCGAGACATGATGATTCCTTTCAATTTTGTCTTTCCTCTTATATTTCAATTTCTTGATACCAATATCCAAAAAGTCGAAAAACATAGTCTTAACTCGAAATTTTCTGAAAAGGAAAAGATGCATAATGAGACCAAATCTCTTTGGAGATTCATTTTGATTGGAGACCAGACCTGTTTCTGTAATGATTTGATGTAACGTAAGTTCAAAGATGTGAAATTGGGAGAGCGTGGTGAATAGAACGTATCAAGAAGCTGTTATGAAATCATATTCATTGGGGGCTCCAAAAAAGGTCACTTTCTTGATTTTATTCATAATAATTATTTTATGGTAACAAATTGGAAAAGCTCGAAGGGCAAAAAGAAAACAAGTGTTGTCGATCTTGTGCGTGTATGGAGTGAACACACGGTGTGGGGGATGTCGTATATGTCTAGTGCTTCACGTCTTCAGTGTCGCTTAGGTCTCGACTCTCGCGTGATCGACAGCATTATACTAAATGATTTCACAAAATTCACAACTAAAGCTAGAGTAGCCATATAATATAGATTGTAGATTTTTTTTTTTTTTGTTGGTTGGAAATTTTCAAAGTTATGTAATCGTTTGTTCTGGTCTTCAGTGTTAGTTTTAGATTGTCATCTTTGTTATGAGATTTGTATGTTGTAAAAAAGGTTATGCTTTCTTAAGTGAAAAATGTTTTAATTTGATTAAATATTTTTTTATGTTGAGAAATTTTTTTTTTTTTGTAAAATGATTTGTTTTGATTATATAAATAGAAAAAAGACTAAAGATAATTTAAATTTTTATTTCCAAGAAAAAAAAACATCAGACAACACGCTAAAAACCACCATAAATACTCAATGTCAAAACTATGTAAGAGGCTAAAGAGCTATAGAGAGAGGTTCACCAAAAAATTACAATTTAATAATAATGGGCTTTATTTCGAGCCTAAGAGTGTACACAAAGGCCCAGAACACCCACAATAATATTAAAGTGATATATATATTTGATTAGGACCTTAATCAATAGCAGATTTCTTTTGCACGGCATCGAATCAATCAGTTCTCTTAGGGTTTAATCTCGTGAAGATGGCAGAAACTTATGAAAATTGTGGTGGTAGAATTGAAGAGATTGTTTGTGAAGACAGGATAAGTGCCTTACCCGAAGATTTACTTTTGACGATACTGTCGTCTATTCCGACAAAAGATGCAGTGTCCACCATGATTTTGTCTAAGCGATGGCGTTTTATCTGGACGATGCTCCCCGTACTTGCATACAGAGATAATAACCATAAAAGAAGCGTGTGGCAGTTTCTTAACAATTCAATGGAATTACACAAAGCACCTGTCCTACAACTATTGTCTATCAAACTCGGTGGACAATGTCCTACTGATGCTGATGTCGAGAAGTGGGTTGAAAACGCTGTTAATCGCGGCTTGACCGTGCTATATTTCAGTCTTCTATGGCCCGCAGATCCAACCAGATTGCCTAAGAGCCTTTACACATGCAAAACTCTTCAGCATCTGAAACTCTCCCACGAGATTCTCGTGGATTTTCCTTCTTGTTGCCTCCCATCCCTCGAAACACTCCGACTTTACCATGTAGTGTATAGAGACGAGGCTTCTATCGTTACGTTATTATCGAGCTGTCCCGTTCTTAAGTTATTGTTTGTGAAACGGGAAGAGGATGATAATGTTGCCAACTTTAGTGTGAAAGTGCCTTCTTTAGTGGGCTTCTTGTATGTAAATTATACGTCATTGCCAGATGACAATGATGAAGTAGATACCGGCAGGTCTTTGGTTATGGATACTCCGGCATTAACAAACTTTTACATTACTGATTATTCAGGAGACTCTTACTCGATCAAGAATATGCCTTGTCTCAAGGATGCTTCTATTATTGGCCAGAGTTTCCATGATATTGACAAGTTGTTAAGATCTCTTTCCGGTGTCTCGTCTCTTGATTTGGATTTGACAGATGAAATGGTAACTATCTCTGATCTCTCTCTCTCTCTCTCTCTCTCTCTCTCTCTCTCTCTCTCTCTCATCCCATTGTTGCATCTACGTACTTATGTCGTTTTGTTCATCATTGTAGGCAGTGTATTGTAGCACCATCAAATTCTCTCAGCTGATTAAGTGTAAGATAATACCATGTGACTCAGACTGGATGGATTCACTCGTTCTTTTTCTTTACAATACTCCTAAACTAAAATCTCTTACTGTTGACTATGTACGTATCCTCCTTACCTCCTCACTAAAAAGCTAACCCAAGTCAAAATGTGATTTTAATGTATTAATAGCAATTGTTGCTTCTCAGAGATTTACCCATGAACCTCCTGCCGCCTCTGCTTCTTGGATGGAACGGAGCCATTATCCCGAATGCTTGTTATCAAGTCTGGAGAAGTTTGAGCTGATAGACTATGGAGGAAGAGAAGAAGAGACTGAATTGGTGGAATACATCCTACAGACCTCTAAGTGTTTAAAGACTGCCAGAATCTCTTTGAGATCCAAACTTGAAGACAAAGAGACAATAATGGAGACGTTGAAAGCTATATTCCTTGGGTTCGATAGCATCTCACTTTTTGTTCAAACCTAAACATAACTATGTAAAACAAATTTATGGGGGAAAGGTTAGAAAGATACAATATGATTAAGAGAGCTGACTTAACAGCTCTCGCAAGTTTGACTAATTCGCACTTGTACCCGTGGATTTTGCTCAATACCTATTAAAAACATTCATATGTTAATCAGCCATCTTCACCATATATAAAAACAAAAAACAAAAAAACTGTGCTATAGTGACTATATATCTAAATTTCAAACACAAAACTTAAAAAAAAATAATAATAATAATGCACGGCCTATTAGGAAAATTATACATGCAAAAACCAAAGAGGCAAACCTAGCAGTGATAGCCTAGTGGCTAGTGGTAATTGGCCGAGTGTAAGTCGTCAACTCGATTTCTCCTCAATCAGTTCTCTTGTTAGGAACAAAGTCATTGTTGTTGGGCTGGATTTTTGGCCAGGATGTTTAACATGGTGTGTGTTTGTGTCCAACAAGTTTACATACTTGTTGTGTAATGATGATTGATACAAAATATGAGTAATATGTGCATACCATCAAAGAAACATAGAAAAAAATTAAACTAAAGATAGAAATACACAACGACAACCAAAGATGCAAATGAAATGATGATTGATACAAAAATATGAGTAATATGTGCATAACATCAAAGAAACATAGAAAAAAACAAACTAAAGATAATCTAATGTTTTTATAGAAAAATAACGTAGGAATATGAGTTTATCGATTCTAAGGACGATAGGCTTCTGTGGGTAAAGGATCCATGGAAATGGGTTAAAGTATAATGCAAAAATATCACTATTCCAAACAAAGTCAATACATTAGGGTTAAAACAAAAAAAAAGTAAATATGTCCATGTTGTGGGTGATGTTGTCTTGTGCTTGTATACGACTATGTAAAGCTACATGGCTGGGTGGGTCTAATTATTGCATACGCCATTCTGTAATATAGTGGTTGTGGTCCATACCCCAAAGAGTTCAGACCAATTTGATCCACTTCGTAACAATAGGCACAGATCTTGTAGCATGTGTGGCACACACGCCATATAGCTCATAATTATATGGGTAGTGGCTCACATATAGTCATATCCTTCTACATTTTACAACCAAGTTTCATTCCAAATCATTCTACCATCAAAACAGACACAAAAACCATCAATAAAAGGAAAAAAAATTACTCTTTTTCAATAAATTGGATTGCCTTCAAGAAACACATGTACATGATTTGGACATCCATGATGAAGATTCTTCTGTCATGCGTCATAAGGTTGAAAATAATAATCCAAAACGGTATATCGGGTCTATGATGACACAACAAAACCACTTCTAGTTCAATACAAGCAAGCCCATGTTGAATTTGGACAACAGATTTTCAGAATTCCAAAAAAAAACAAAAGTCTGAAACTTCTAAAGGTTATAAAAAACCACGAAACCAAAAAAAAAAACAAAAAATTAACGCATTCGTGCTTAAAAGTAACATGTTCCATGTGTTGCAAGGGAGTCCTCAGGTGTACGTCATATATTAATTGTTTTTAGAGCTACTATTTTGCACGTCTTCAGTTTTTATATGTAGTTACGAAACAGAAGGACACATAATGATTCGATAGAAAAAAATAAGGTAGATCAAATACTCTACATTGACCGACTATTCAATGAAAACAATTTAAATTATTAAACTCAAATCGTCATCAAGGATTGAGAATCTGACATCAGGCAAACCAATTAGTATAATTCATACTTAGGACATGAGATGGATCACAAGCTGCAGTTTTACTGACTGATTATGTATTATTTAAGGATTATATGTCTTAGTTTTTCTAATCGTGACCGTATAAAATTATTAATATAAACGAGTTTCGTGTCAGAAAAAAATATAAGTAAAATCGTTAATCACATCCCAAAAACAAATCAAAATAATTTGACTAAAATATTTTTACTTTTGAAAGTCGCATCAGAATACAAATCGAACTGATGAATAAGTCTTTCTTAACAAAAAAGAGAGATAAGTATACGAGCAGTTGCCATTCAGCACTACTTATTAAGAATTTTCTTTGCCGACCTACTTGTTAAGATGACTATACCAAAACATAATTGATGGGGAGAAAAATCCCAGATAATGTAGGATAGAAAGAAAATAGCCTTGCGTTATCGAAACTTCTTAATAGTCAACTTAAGATGTTGAAAAAAGAGCGTCAAACATAGAGAAAAAGAAGAATATTGGAAAATCTTTTTGATGATTCATTTCCCACGTTGATCAAGTTGAACAGAACTAACGCCGATATGGCGATATCAATTGTCAGACCAATTACCGTACTATTTTAAGTTTTGGCCTTTAACAGTGTTATTGTCATGGAGATTCACTTGATCATATGAAAAAGAATACTGTAATTTTTCTGCCAAAACTAAATATATATATTTGAATTATACCTTGAAAAAATACTATCACTCATTAAGCCTGAAAATATGTGAACTTATAGAAAATTGTTTTTATATTTCAGTCAAGCATCATTCGGAAATCATAAATTATAAACGGAAACTAAATAAAATATGGATATTATTATATTTTTCTTCATTTATAACTTCAAAAATCTAGTATATGATTAACCAAAACAAAATATTAGGCTTTCCTATATTTATAGTATTTACATTTAAAGGCATTTGAGTTTGGAACAACCAAGCTATTAGCATTTAGCATGTACACTTTCTTACATGAATAAGTAGGGACCCCAAAAACTCATATTCAATAACTTGTTTTGCATAGAAGGTGATTCGAACTTGCACACCTAATTGTTCTGTTGCCTATGCCTTTTAACAATTACTCTACTTCAGTTTACTATGTTTACTGGAAAAAACTAGTGTTTTGCAATATGAATGTTTGTCCAAAATAATTGAACACTTGCTAGTTGTATTTTACTAACGGATATTTTGCCCAGCCCTTTTCTTATATATAATTAAATTGTGTAGTCATACTCATAGACTGAAATCCATTCATCAATGGCTTTTTTCATGTTATCTTTTATTGGGCGTATATATTGTGTAGATACCCTATATAGTTCTTATAGTACATTTCCTTTTTTTTTCTTAGTATTGTATTTTGTATAGCAAGTTTAGGATATATATATATATATATATATATATATTCTTAGGGCCACATATACTTTGTTGTATGTATGTATATCGAAGTATTAGAAAGTTTATCGCAGAACCATTTTTTTGGTCAAAATCGCAGAACCATTGATATGGTATTTTATAGATAAAAAACAGTGTAATTCTTATCATTTTTTATAATTATAAGTTATCTAAATAATTATAGTTTATGATAATATATTCAATAAATAAAAAATCTTCATCCATTTGACTTCTTTTTTTTTCCATCATATCAATATTTAATTTATCTAAAAATGGGCAGTCTTTATGAATATCTATCTTGTTTTTTTTTGTAAAAAAATCTATCTTGTTCTTCCAAGCAAGTAGCTACCATAAATGTAATTCTTACCCCTCTTTTCTTCTCCATCCTACTATATAGTCAATATCTTTTTTTCAAACGTGTCTACGTCCTGTATCTAAGGATTAAATTCATTACCAGGAAAATCATCCACTCCAATGCATTGAATTTATTGCCATTTTCTGTAATATACATAATATCTGAATACTAAATATATCTGTAAAAGATTAAAGCATAGCTTCTAATTCCAACCTTCCCCTCTCTAATCACTCTCTCTAAGTCAACGTCAACAACAACAGTCTTCGCCCTTTCTCTCTCTACTTTCTCTCTCCCTGCCACTTTCACGCACACTTCGTGGGGCTAATATATTCCAACCAGAACACAACCCACAAGCATCCCTCTCGAACACCCACTTCTCTCCTAAAACCATAAGAAAGAACCAAAAAAAAAATGGTGGCTGCAAGTCCCGGCGGCTCAATGAAGAGCTTAACCATCCAAATCCTAACCGGAAGATGGTTCATGTTCTTCGGGAGTCTCTTAATCATGTCGGCGGCTGGAGCCACTTACATGTTCAGTCTCTACTCAGGCGATATCAAGAGAACCTTAGGCTACGACCAAACCACTCTCAACCTCCTCGGTTTCTTCAAAGATCTTGGAGCCAACGTTGGTGTCCTCGCGGGTCTAATCAACGAGGTGACTCCTCCTTGGTTCGTCCTCATTATCGGAGCCATACTTAACTTCTTTGGCTACTTCATGATTTGGCTCGCCGTCACAGAACGGATCTCCAAGCCTAAAGTTTGGCACATGTGTCTCTACATCTGCGTTGGAGCCAACTCGCAGTCGTTTGCTAACACCGGATCGCTCGTCACGTGTGTCAAGAACTTCCCGGAGTCACGTGGTGTTGTCTTGGGGATTCTCAAAGGATATGTCGGTCTTAGCGGCGCCATTATTACACAGCTTTACCATGCTTTTTATGGTGACGATACCAAATCTCTCATCTTGATGATCGGTAAGTTACGATTTTTAAAAAATTGACAAGACTAAACAGAGTAAAAAACAGAGTAAAAAAACAGATGAAAACAGAGGTTAATGGGTTACTGTATATGAATCTTGATATCTCCATCCATTGGACAGAGTATGAATTCAAAAGAGGGGAAAAAACAGAGATTTATGACTTCTTTTTTACTAATGGAATAAATCTTGGATCTAAATCCAGACTAATTGTATGAGTATAATTGTAATTACAGGTTGGTTACCTGCAGCAATCTCGTTTGCTTTCTTGAGGACGATAAGGATGATGAAAGTGGTGAGGCAGACAAACGAGCTAAAGGTTTTCTATAACTTCCTCTACATCTCGCTCGGGCTAGCGACGTTTCTCATGGTGGCCATCATCACCGACAAACTCTCCGGCTTTACACAGAGCGAGTTTGGTGGCAGCGCCGCCGTGGTGATCATCTTGCTTATTTTGCCGATCATAGTCGTCGTCTTGGAAGAGAGGAAGCTATGGAATGATAAACAAGTCGCCTTCAACAATCCAGCACCGATCAATATCGTCACCGAGAAACCAAGCTCAGATTTATCAGAGGTCAAAGCTCATCATGACGAAGAGTCAAAGGAGGAAGAAGAGAAGGTTAAAACGGCGTCGTGTTGGAAGACTATGTTTAGTCCACCGGAAAGAGGAGATGACTATACGATCTTGCAAGCGTTGTTTAGCGTAGACATGTTGATCTTGTTCTTAGCGACGATCTGTGGTGTTGGAGGGACTTTGACGGCGATAGACAATTTGGGCCAAATAGGAAGCTCGTTTGGTTATCCAAAGAGAAGCGTAAGCACGTTTGTGTCACTAGTAAGCATATGGAATTACTTTGGTCGTGTGGTTTCAGGTGTGATCTCTGAGATCTTCTTGATCAAATACAAATTCCCAAGACCTCTCATGCTCACACTGATCCTACTCTTGTCCTGCGCCGGTCACCTCCTCATAGCATTTAACGTCCCTGGTGGACTCTACGTTGCATCAGTCATCATAGGGTTTTGTTTTGGTGCGCAATGGCCGCTTCTGTTTGCAATAATCTCCGAGATTTTCGGGCTAAAGTACTACGCAACATTGTATAACTTTGGCTCCGTGGCAAGCCCGATCGGGTCTTATTTGCTTAACGTTCGGGTCGCCGGATATTTGTATGACGTGGAGGCAGAGAAGCAAAACAATGCATTAGGGATAGATAGAAAGGAAGGAAGACAAGATTTGAGTTGCAAAGGCACGGTTTGTTTTAAGCTGTCTTTTATTATAATTACCGCGGTAACTTTGCTTGGTGTATTGGTCTCGACGATTTTGGTTATCCGGACCAAGAAGTTTTACAAGAGTGATATCTACAAAAAGTATAGAGAAAAAGCGTTGGCCGCCGAGAGTGAGATGGCAGCGCCGGCTCCGGCTAGATTGACGGTGGCTGAAGAAGAGAAGGATGGTGTTAAAGGCAAAGTAGGGTAAAGTTATGATTGTTAAGAGATATACTACTAGATAAGAAAGTGTGGTGAAGTATTTTGTAAACATATAATATGTTCCCAATGTAAGCTATTGAATGAAACCCATCAGTCTATCCTCTATCGAACTTTTTTTTTTTTTTTAAAGCAATACTTTATTTGATGTTTTTATCGTTTTGTGTTTTAGGAGTTTTTGGATAGTAGTGAAGGTGTGAAACTTGGAGATGGGTAAGGGTCATGAGTCAACTAATGAGTTAAGACTTGTGATTTTGGGGTGATTTTGTGAGCCACATGTGACAAGTTTGAATAAATCATTAAAAGATAAAGAACCAAATTATTGCAAGTGGGAAGACTTGGCTCACGTGTGTTGGTACAACTTAGACTTTATTGTCGGTCTACAATTGCGTAATGTAAATCTGGAACGAATGCGTCACTATGATATACATGTGCAAAGTTTAAATGGTAAACGCGTTTTAAAACAAAATAGTTTGAAAACGTGCAACTTTTTATAGGAACATATATTCGAAAATCAAAAGTCTCAAACTTTAGTTAGTGGGTAACGGATTTAAAAAGATACACTCGTGAAATAATTTCACATTTAGTGGATACGAGAATAGACAAAGACAAACAATAAATTGTAGGAAAGCCGTCTCTAAATTTATTTAGGATGAAACAAAAACTAACTTAAGGAAAAAGCAATTCTTATAGAATACCATATGTTTTGTTTTCTAATTACCACCATTGTTTAATTATTCCAAAAGTATCATAAGCTTAGTTTTATGAAAGTCTCCGAAAAGGTTGACCGAACCAAAAAAATCAACGAAAAGTTTAAAGAGGAACCCTTTTTATCAAAAACTTTTTTTAATAAACATTGACCTATTCTAAACTTGTAGGATCCATTTTTATATCTTCTAAATTTTGTAATTTCTAAGAAATGAATCAAATGACCATTTCCAATATTTTTAAAATGATTAAATCTATCAATTTTGATTGTCATAAGCTGAAATATTATAATTACAAAATCCTTAATAATCATTTAGATATACTTTCCTTTTTAAATGTTTGGTATTTGAGTGGGTGTCTTTTTTGTTTAGAGGGCCATCTGAGTGGGTGTCGACGTGTCGTTCTTCAAACTTATTTGGCTTCTGCAGTTTTATCATATCATTTGGGTCTAGTCGAGCTTTAAAAGTTGTAGATGGAATATGTATTCAATTGAAAATTTAAAAATCCTCATAATTTTTTTATTTAATCCATTTTTTAATTCTTTTCCAACAATTATTTTAGGATTTTAGATAGTCTATACTCCGTAGTATCTTCCATCAGTATCGTGAACAAGGATTATTCTAAAGATCCGTTAAATACATAATGTTCAGTTGCTTATTAATTGAATAGCAGATCTTATAATCTAAACACGTAATTTTCATTTTGATTAGATAGCCTTGGCCATTCATTATCGAGAGTCGAGACCAATGGTCCAATAATCTCGGGTTCGAGGCAGCGTCCATGCTTCAGCAAAATAATATATTTAGTGATAATTTACTCTCAACTAGTTGTCCATTAATATTTTGTTTGTTAATTAGCTGTCCACTAATAATGGAAGTTTTTTTAATCAAAAGATATAACAATAATGGAACTGACACACACAGAAACATTTGGTTTTAATAGTCATAGGAATCAGATATAGAACATCTGTATATTCCATGTATGACGTTATTTTAATGCATTAACTATTCAACCATCATATCATATCTATAAAGTTCAAAAGATTCGAATATATAGTAAAGAAGATGAATGATGAGTCTGAATTTTTATTCAAAATTAACATTGAGTTTCAGTATCAAAATGATCTTTGTTTTCAAAACGTGTTTTAAAATAAGGTTCATCTTGGTTTGGGTTGGGTCCTGCGAGATAAACCTGGGGAGGTCAAATGGGCTGGAGCTCGAGTAGTTCCGAAAATAAAATATGCTCTGGAAACAGAGGTGGAGACACCGAGATTGGCACATCAAAAGAAATACAACATAAAACTCTATAATGATTCGATTTTTTTCTCCCAGTACTATGATATTGAGTTGGTGATAAATGCGATCAAAAACTACGTGTCTCAAATTTATTGGAACCTAAATTTGGGTTAAGAAAAGCTTTCAGGTTTATAAACTGTTCCAAAAATGTTCCCAATAATATCATGAGTTCAGGAATCCTCTTAGGAAACAAAAAGAGCTCTAGAAACCAGTTTTGTCTACTGAGGCAAATGAACTTTATTTAAGTAAATCTTTTGTCTCCCCCCATTTACTTAAATCTTCATAAACTCTCAGAGCTAATAGGCTTATTTTTCTCTACCTGAAGCTCACTAACGTTTGCTAAACGAAATGCGTTTAATTATTAGCATAACACACTGATTAGAATCCTCTTGATATAAATATACAGGTATGTGTGGGTACAAAAAAAAATTGCTGACATGTTAGACTGTAATTGGTTTTTAAGGACATTTTTTGAATTGGTAAATCGACATTATAACTTTAGCTTCGAATGGGTTTTATATATTTAAAGCATAATGGTATTATAAGTTGTATCAAAATTTTAATTTAAGGATAGCAAATAGAATAATTGTTAAAAATATTAACTTTTAAATACATTTTCATTATCAAATTACTTTCATTTAATCTAATAAAATTTATTATTTAGAATATGATTATTTTCCCTAATGATAACGTTGAATTTTAATATATATTCATGAAAATCTGAAATAACAAAACACACTCTAAATTCTAATAATGTTTCTATTCCTAATCAATTACCTAAAATATCTTTCATGTCCTGATTTGAAAATATAGAATAACATCATTTGTTGTAATATTTACATCAATATTCAAATATAATTTTTAAATAATTTTAAGATATTCAAATCTTTCTATAAATAATTGTCAAAATATTGGAACTGATACAAATAAAAATTTGAATTACATAAACCACAATTAGGCACACATATATATACTATATATTATATATAATAGCGTATATATTTTGTTTTTTTTTCTTTTATGGACACTGCGGACATATTCACATTTTTTTAACAAGGTTGTATAATAAACCAAATAAACAGTTCTGCAGAAAATTAATATTTACGAAGAAAAAACATAACTTTTGTTGAATTATAAATTCCGTATAGTAATTGGGCTTTGAATGATAACTTATTTCTTTGTTCTAGATTTTCATAGGTCAGCTTTGAAGCTTCGTGTAAGACAAAGCTTTTGTAGTTGAGCACGTTTAATATCGTTAAGAGAAGAAACTTCAGCAAACATTTTTTATCCTTACAAGAAAATTTACTTAAATTTCTATAGTTTTTTTCTCGGAAAACTTAATAGACAGTTAAATTAGTATAACAATAGTCTAAATCATGAAATTGCCAAGTGGTATTACTTAATTAATCGAGATTAAGACTACATAAATGGAATTTTAATCACGTAACAAGAATTGTATATTTTTAATTGATTTTTTTTAGTATTATTTAATGTTATTTGTCCAACTTGCAGAAAAAATAATTTTGTTAATCTGTGTGAATATATGTACAAATTTTATTTTAATATTATTTTATGAATTGAATATTATTTTATTGTTATTTTTCCAACTTGCAGAAAAATCAAGGGAACAACACGTTTTTTGAGATGACTTCCTAAATTTTCTTTTGGTTGATGTGGACAAAAAATACAAATTTTAAAAAAGAAACCTTATGAGATCGGTTATAAGATTGAAAATTGAAACAATGGGTCAAAACAAAGATGGACACATGATTTTACACCACACCCTTACCAAACAGGGTCAACGCATAGGAAGTTCAGATCAGTACAAATCATGAAATGGTGATGTCAATATCATTTGAGTTGACTCAAACCCTCGATCTCTAAATAGTAAAAAATTTCAATTACATATTCAGTTGTCTGATGAAATGGTTCAAGTGAACTCGTTTCGATTAATTTATGAAAGTCCTCTATTCCTCTAAAGTTACAACTCGTAATTTCATAAGAGATGCTTTTATAACAAAAAAAAAACGTTAAAACGAAGTCTATATTATGCCTAAAGTTTGTCGGATCCAAATTTCCAATTCTAAATAAAAATGGAATTGTATGGTTGTATTGGCTATATATATGTAACTGATTAAAATAAGAGTACTATATGTCGGACCGTCGCTTAAAGTCATCTCGAAATGAATTTGACAATCATGGCCATTGAATTAGTATGGTAATTGTTCCATCGAGATTGGAAGTACGAAAAAATTATATATTTTAATCATCTTAAAGTTGATATACCGTTAGTGAGTGTCGTCTCTTTCTTTAGTCACGTTGAGTATCATATCCTTTCTACAACCCACTGATCATTTTTTTTATATATTTAATCAAGAAAGGCCATTCATAATTGTTTAAAGAAAATCTTACCGTAGTCAAACCAATTAGTACTTCAAACTTTCAGTGTTGGTTAAGTTTAACTTCACGATTTAAATCGGATTAAAGTACTTCCAAATTTAATTTTGAAAAAAGTTTAATTACCTTAAGGATTTAGGTCGAAATGATTCATTTATCTCTTTGTTTATGGTATTTTGATATTGTCATATGAAGAAAATATTACATACTATCATGGTGAAAATCTGGCTGATTCCATGCCCCAAAAGACAATCCAAACATTAAATTTGAGAATAACCTTTATTCAAACTGGTATTCAAAAGAAGTGAAATAAAGTACGTATTAAAAAAGAAAAAAAAAACTGGTCCTAAAAAATAACCTTTATTGAAACCCTGATTGTACTCAACCAACATGACGTGTGATTCGTTCTGGATTAGTGAGTATATGATTATCTATCTCTTTTCACACTTTATTAGATTACTTGAATATAAATTATAGAATTTTTATATATGGTCGATGAAGATGATTAAGGGCTTGATTGGTTTAAACGCAGCGGCTACGGTTGCGAATGCGGAAGTTTACGGAAGCGGATGATTGCGGTTTTGAGTGTTATTCAGCGGTTTGAACGACTGGTTAAATTTTTTTTAAAACGAATCTATTTGCGGGATAATTTTGACTGGCAAACCAGCGATTATTTTAGCGGTTAAATATAAAATTACCAAAATAAACATCATATATAATTATAAAAAAAAAACAGAAAACTATATTATTATGATTAATATCAAAATCAATAGTTTAAAATAATTAATAAATTATAAATAAATACTAAATAATTATTTTAAAAATTAAAAAATTTTATAATAATATGTTTTATTTCAATTATTGGGAACATCACACAAAATTGTGTCTAGTAATGTAATAGACTGAAAAAATTTGCTCCAATACGTGGATCTTCTGATTTGTCTTATGCATGATGTAAAATTTCTTCAATTGATTTAATCGATTTTTTACACGATCTCAACTCAAATCAACTCCAAATTGCTCATTAGTATTCTTCAAAATACGTTCTTTCAGGAGTGCACTCAAAAATCTAGGATATTTTTCTTGATTTTGTTTTTCCACAATGATCCGTTGAATTAACGCACATGTCATCTCGTTTGATCATGTAATTTTCTGAAGAACAAAAAAAAAAGAATTATAACAAACTAATTTTGTAATTAATAAGATACATATTTATAATTTCTTACTTTAAATTTAAAAGTGGAAATAGAACAATTAATATAAATAAATTAAACTAAAATATTATGACACTTATGCTTATATCTTAATTTTCTTCAACTGATATGAAAGCCATGATTAGAGACTAGAACTTGATAGAAAAAGTGAGAAGTTAGAGTTTATATATATAAAAGAAGATTAGTAGGGTTAGAGTTTTATAATTGTTTTGAACGTGATCTTTTTTTTCTAGCTTGATTTTATTTATTTTTATTTTTTTACCCAACCGCTACCGCCCGCAACCGCAAACGCTGGCGGGAAATAGCTTTTGGATTTCAGCGGTATAAAACGATAGGGAGCGGTTTGCAGCGATTTTTATGATTGTGATAAAACGCCACTAACCGTTCACCCGCAAACGCAGCATTTACGAGTGATAGCGGGTGAACCAATCAACACCTAAGTAAACTATTGGTTATATAAATCATAATCTCTGAGAAGGGATATTAACCCATGACCACTTCATGTTTAACACCGGTTAATGCTTGGCTACTTTTATTTTCTTATTATGTAAACTAGATATGTTTCAAATTTACATTTCAAATTTTAAAGAAGATTGCTTCCGAATATTTGACTTTCGAATATCCACCCAAACATTATGATATATGTGAATATCTGATCTATAAAGAAGAAAAAAATTATTAACAACATTCAGTTTTTAGAATGAATTTTTTTTTTTCTGTCAAAATGAATTTCGAATTCTAAATAATAATTTCACTCATAATACACATAACGAGATACCAACCCGTCAAAAAAACACAACTACAATTATACCACTTTGATTTGTGTTTGTTTTAAAGAATATTTTTCTGCATTAATCTCATTCAATAATATTATTACAATATGTTGACAAAAAGATATCTTCTTAGTTCTAAAAATTGGTATTCGTATATAACTGCCAAAAAAATCATCTATTTGATCGTCGTATAAAGTCATAAAAACATACAGTCATGATGAATGTGGCCTCATCAACAAACTTTCGGTCTTTATCACAGAGACCGAACAATTTATTTGATTTTTGATATTGAAATTCGTGTTTATGATATGAGATTAGAAGTGGGTATAGTTCACACGGCGCAACCAGTCTCATAAAGCATTATATATATATGACGACAAAAAAAAAAAAAATCGTCACCTCAAGTCTTTATATTTGAATTAGTCAAAAGTCTTCGTTTCCCTGGAATTTTTTTATAAATAATAATAAACAATTGCGGCTTTCACTTGTTTGACTTTCTTTTATTCTTTTTGCGAAGAAATAACAGCGCATGTATATATGTATCTTATTGTAACAAGTGTATATATATAGACATAACAGGAACAAAGGCCATATCACTTTCTTTCTCCTTTCCCCTTATAGATAACACTTGTGAAACCTTAAAAGCTATCATACGTACAAACTTGAGATTTTATTGAGTAGTGAAACTGAAAATAATGGCAATAAAAGAGAGATCATTGGAAGAGACACCAACATGGGCTGTTGCTGTTGTTTGCTTCGTTCTTCTTTTCATCTCCATCATGATCGAATATTTCTTGCACTTTATTGGTCACGTACGTATATATAATTCTTCTTCTCTTTTTCGTTTTATATATATCCAAATCTTCCTTTATCTCTTTTCGCTTTTCTCCAAATGACAAGAATATATACAATAATTTCATTATAATATTATTGCTGAATTTATTCTATGTATCTCTGCTTGTAATGATGCCCCAAAAAAGGGCATTCAATGAAATGAAAAGGAAGTTAAAAAAAAAAAAAAAATTTCATTATATTAGCCCTTCAAAGCTTATTGCATCATACCTTTTCTTAACTAGGAAATCAAAATTTAGTCGGTATATCTCTAATATTTCTTTCCAATTTTTGTAGTGGTTTAAAAAGAAGCACAAGAAAGCTTTGTATGAAGCTCTTGAAAAGGTTAAAGCAGGCAAGTTCTTTCCTATTAAAGATGATTATCATAAGTTTGGATACGTCCTCTTATATCACAATCTGATCAATCTTTCTCTCTTTGAATTTCCAACTAACTTTTTTTTTTTTTGTGGGTTTGCCATGAAAATAGAACTGATGCTACTGGGATTCATATCACTTCTACTTGTTGTATTGCAAACACCAGTCTCCGAAATTTGCATCCCAAAAAGAGTTGCTGCGACTTGGCATCCTTGTAGTCGCCAACAAGAGATTGATAAATACGGTAAAGATTATATCGACGATGGTCGAAAAATTCTTGAAGACTATGACTCCAACGACTTTTACAGTCCTCGTCGAAGTTTAGCCACCAAGGGTTATGACAAATGCGCAGAAAAGGCATGTTTTTTATTTAGTCTCTGACTAATTTTTTACCTTTTTAATTCTTCCGTACCTTTTGTTTAGAAATTATATCGGAATCTTATTTTATTTCTTTCGTTGTGAATAATTATTTTCAGGGGAAAGTAGCATTAGTATCTGCGTATGGTATCCACCAGCTACATATATTCATTTTTGTGCTCGCTGTTTTTCATATTCTCTACTGCATTATTACCTATGCTTTGGGAAAGACCAAGGTACATGATTTTCTCTATACGTATATTTTGTACAAGTGCATACATGATACATCTATATATGTATGTGCTTTTTTAACAGATATATAGATGCATGTGTTTAATTTTGTGATCTATATGGACATGTATTATGCAGATGAAGAAATGGAAATCATGGGAGAGAGAGACCAAAACAATTGAATACCAATATGCCAATGGTATGCACATACATACTAGCCATAATCTCAATTTCATTTTTGTAGTATTAGTCAAACAAAACAAAAACAAAAATGAATTTATTTTCTAAAATGTCATTTTTTTATAAAATGTTTTCGTTGGTGTTTGACTTTGTAATATATATTAACATCATGCTCACGTATCAGTCAGATTTGTTTATTCATCCACATCTCTCAAGTTCGTTTATTTCATTGATTTGTTGTTTATTTTTATTGACTAAGATAACCTGATATCTAAGTAAATTGAGATTATCCAATGACACAACGCCTTTTGTTTGACTCATGAATAAACAATTTCGAGCAAGAAATTGCCATCACTTTTTTTATTAACTGTATCTATATGTATATATGTATGTGTGTGTGTGTGTCTGTGTTCTGTCCTCTGATTTGATTTATTTGATTCAATAAATTGTTTAAATATTGTAGATCCAGAGAGGTTCAGATTTGCAAGAGATACATCGTTTGGACGTAGACATATGAATGTATGGACCAAGTCTTCTTTTACCCTCTGGCTTGTAAGTTTCATTTATATATTATTTTAATTTATTTTTCCTGTAATTTGGTTTAAAATTACAACAAAACTAATGGATAAGTGGGGGCATGCAGACATGTTTCTTCAGACAATTCTTTGGATCAGTGACAAAAGTAGATTATCTTACACTAAGACATGGCTTTATAACGGTAAGTAATAATTAGTATTATGGTAAGTAATAATCGATTATACTACTAAGGTATAATCAAAATTTCTAAACGTTGAATTGGTGCAGGCGCATTTGCCAGCAGGAAGTGCAGCTCGTTTCGATTTCCAAAAATACATTCAAAGATCTTTGGAAGAAGATTTCAAGGTTGTTGTTGGTATAAGGTCCGTCCCTTTCTTTATATAAATCAAATTCATTAAAATTTTCTTTCAATAATCCAATTTTAGTTATTAACATCTTTCATCTTTGTGTGCGAATGGAAATGCAGCCCAGTGATATGGTGCATTGCTGTCTTGTTCTTATTGACTAATACACATGGTTTGTCCTGATTCTTTATCATTTCATTGTAGTAATTTAGCAAACTATAGATCGACTAAAATGATATAAACCTCTATTTATTTCTCAAAATAAAATAGGATGGGATTCCTATCTTTGGCTGCCTTTCCTACCTTTGCTTGTAAGTAATTATAAACACATTACTCAAAACTTTTCAATTGGTTTATTAAATTATTATGCAGCTGTAATTGTGAACATATATATTAATGATATTAATTATATGGTTGGTATCTTTAATGAATTGAAGGTGATATTAATAGTAGGAGCAAAACTTCAAATGATAATATCGAAATTAGGATTGAGGATTCAAGATAAAGGAGATGTGGTTAAAGGAGCTCCTGTGGTTGAACCGGGCGATGATCTCTTTTGGTTTGGTCGTCCTCGTTTCATTCTATTCCTCATTCACTTGGTTCTTTTCACGGTATATAAATATTTTTCAAACTCTTATATGTATTTATGTTTTTCCTTTTTTTTTTTACTTATGGTTTGAATTTTTAAAATTTGCTTTTTATGTATTCTTTTTTACAGAATGCATTTCAACTGGCTTTCTTCGTTTGGAGCACTGTGAGCAACAATCCATGTTTCTTCTTAAATAAAATATTGAAAAGGGTGTTTACACTAAATTAATTGATCATGATTTTGGTATTAATTTTGTAGTACGAATTCACGCTCAGAAACTGCTTTCACCACAAAACCGAAGATATTGCAATTAGGATCACCATGGGGTTTGTTAACTTCTTCAACTAGTTTTTTTATAATTTATAAAACACTAATATATATTAGGTATATTTTGTACCTTTAATTTACAGTACTAAACTTCTTCCTCTTGTATATGACAGGTTATTAATACAAGTTCTATGCAGCTACATCACTCTACCTCTCTATGCTCTTGTTACTCAGGTATATTTCAATATTTAAATTGCTAAACGCTGTGTTACATTTTTGTACAACAGAAATATGTAAATATCAAGATGCATGAGCTTTTATCTTATTAATAGCAATTTTACTTAGGATTGATCCAAATTAATTAATACTATATAATTTTATTTTATTTTTTGAATCTTATACTATATAAATTTAAATTGTTCAAAAATTTATTTTTGATGTAGCCCTTCAAACTCGAATCAAAATGAACTCTATTACCATGTCAAATTTCATGAGGTTTCAATTTAAAATCGATTGGCAAATTGTCTATGTAAGATTTTCTAACACTAAACCGTGATTGCAGATGGGAACTTCAATGAGGCCAACCATATTCAACGATCGTGTAGCAAGTGCACTGAAAAAATGGCACCATACGGCCAAAAAACAGACGAAACATGGACAATCCGGGTCTAACACACCTCACTCAAGCCGCCCCGCCACGCCAACGCATGGCATGTCACCGGTGCATCTCCTCCACAACTACCATAACCGAGGCATGGACCATCAAACTAGTTTCACTGCCTCTCCTTCCCCTCCTAGGTTTTCTGATTTTGGCGGCCACGGCCAAGGCCATCAGCATTTCTTTGATCCTGAATCTCAGAATGTCTCTTACCACCGTGAGATCACAGATTCTGATAACAGCAATAGTCATCATCCCCATGCTGACGTGGCAAGTCCTGTTAGAGAAGAGAGCGATGCTATTGAGCATGTCAAGGTTGATTTGCCAGAGTTTACTTTCAAGAAGTGATAAGACTTCTAAATTGGGTGTTTATTCTTTGTATATAAACTTTGGGAGTGAACACTTCTCTTCTTTTTCTTTCCATGTTTTTTTTTTAATTTTTTAATTTTGCTGTAAGCTCTAAGATCAAAACGCTTTATGAATTCATATCATTATTAACAGACAGATTTCCCATCAAATTACATAATAGAGCACCACAGCAATTTCAGGCTTGTTTGGAACTTATCGGCTCCAAAGCACATGCTACATGAGCTTCTCCCCTGGCCCGGCTCTGGTTCTGTATCGGTGTGAGATGTTTAGGTACGAAGTGCGACTGGAGCAGACATGGATAAGTAGTTGATGTAACCTTCAGAGACCGAGATCACGAACCGATGGCAAGCAAGAGCAGTGGTGGTGAGAAACATGACAAAGGAAGTCCAGCAGAATCTGAGCGTCAACACTCGGTCACTCTTTGCAGATTCCACTATCTTTCTCAGTATCACTCTGACACGTTTGTCTCTAATTAAAATCTTGAAATCTTTCACTGTAATGTTGCTTCCTGAAGATGTTGGTGGCTCTGAGAGAGATATGAATTTAAGGGAATTAATTCCGAAGATCCCGACCATCCATTGGTACAGTGTATCTGCAATTGTTGAGCAAAGTTTCTGGCGGATGACATGTGCCTCTCTTGAAATAAACGTCCGGATCAGTGAAGTCCCGTTCTGTTTATCAAAGCAGAGAACCATACCAAGTTCATAACGTAAAAATCAAATTTTCTCAGAAATAAGACACGTCGACTTAAACTATAAATGTAGATACTAACCGCAGCCATCAAGAGTCTTCTAAGAACCACACCGTCTTTGGATGCCAAAAGCCTCAAGACCAAACTTACAGTGTCAACGTCTCTGTCCGTTGGATTGGAACTGCTATGAACAGAAGTTTCGTCCCTTGATGATGTTACCAGTGGCGAACCATTCCTAGAGTAGGTATCAAATAAGTTATTATATGGAGAACTAGAATACTAGCAAACAATAAACAGGGGTAAATAAGACAGGATTTCAATGTTAAGATCATTCAATATCCTAATCATCCTCGATCAAAGCTACTTTAGATGCCTATTACTTGCTCTTTCTTGTGAGCCATGTTGCTGCTGTAGTTAATTTCATTGTCACCAATTCGGAATTACATTGATCTGGTGCTTTAGTAATTTAACTATGGTTCTCTGTTGCTGCTGACCTCAAGAACGTACTTAGAAGAGACACAGAGGGACTAAAGTTCTCATCTTTTGCGTATTACTTAGCACAATTCTTCATGCAGCAGAGCTACAAGATAAATAGACATAATTCAAATGATTAGGGTCAAATGTCTGATATACTATACCTCGCCGAACTTTTAGTCAGGAAAAGAGCAACCCTTTCCCATCGGAATTCCTTCTTTCGGTTAAGGACTGCCTACAGACACCAACAGAAGTTTAGAAATTTATTTTGTCTACTTAAATGGCATATCTTATATTTTTTCACTTTGAACGTATGAATGCACAGTGATAATCAGCAAGTGTAAATTTTAGAAAGGATACGCAACTAAATTCCCAGATGTACTACTAATGATATAAGTCAAGTTTTTCACTGCCATTTAGTTTTATGAAAGAGAAAACAAAGTTTGTCTTATTTTGATGTGAATCTAAGAAATCACTTAAATGGCGTCAAAAAAACTCATATAATACCGAATGAAGAATTTTCCTCGTCGCAGCTGAATTTTCAGTGAGGAGTTTTTGAACCACAAAAGGGTATGCAGCCTCAAATGTCTTAAAATTTGGATCTCCAGCTGCAGCCAAACCTGGGAAAACATGAATACAACGCTACTAATGAATGGACAAAAACTGACTGGGTATTTTTTTAGGATACAAACCACCTACAAGCATGACGCAAATTTCCAAGTTATGAAACCAAGCATGGCTAGAAAGAGATGACAAATGAATTTCTCTGACTATACTGTCATCCATTATCATCCAAGATCACCTCCTGGATAGCATTTATTGTTTTTCTATCACAGCCAACTAACAAACAGGCACGAGGTTAAGATAATATAGGATTTAACAAGACTATATAACATCGATATCAGACCAGCTAAAAAGGCGGATTCTCTCTTCACATATTCAAACATGCTTGGATGGTATTTTCTTTCTTCTACCCATGATAATCAAACCATTAAACAAAGAGAATTCAAGGATTGGATATACCTTCCAAGCAAGCAAGAGAACGCAAGACAAGTGTGAAGTATGGTGGCATGCGCATCTGATAGTTCAGGGCCACTTTTACTATCTTACTAAGAACCTTGAGAACATTAGAAGCATTGGAAGAAAAATTAGCGTAACTCACTAATACTCATTCAGAAGATAAAACTACAACAATTGTAGAGTAGTTGCATTGTCCCTTGTACGAGCTACAAGTGAGAGGCTCTTATAAGAGTGCAGATAGATTTTCTTAGCCTAGAAGCACAGTGGCTAGCTACAAGGAATACATGTGACATGTCTCACCTTGGTGAACTCAATATCAGGAATCCCGTTTTTAAGCTCAACCTCTCCTAACGCATATTCCAGATCCTGAATTATTTTCAAGAATCATAAGATATGAGAATAGCAACTTCTTCAAATTTAACATAAAAAATGCAAAGGGGGGTTCTTATAGAAATACACTACACTATTTGAGTTACCAAATTATCTATTTACCATCGTAAAACGCCGTGTATTGACACCTGTCTTGATGACATCCATATCAGTCAACGCATCAACAAGAGAGGCCCAATCACCATTCACGATATGCACAATTGATGCGAGCATGGCAAGCTGATGTTTTCTTTCCATCCGACAAACTAAACCAAAGTCCAAAAACCTTGCATAGAAACAAGTTGTCATCAAATAAAGATCATCCTGTCACAGTGAAATTTTACTGAGTTACGCTGATGAATGGTCAAGATATACCCTATTTGTCTTGATGTCGTGTAACGCAAATTTCCAGGATGTGGATCTGCATGCAAAATTCCTGTATCAAGGAGTTGTACTAGAGTTGCCTCTACTCCTTTGTTCACCTACAATTAAAATTTGAAAGAAAAATCTAAGCCATTCGAACATCGTATATTCTCGCAAAATGGAACTTATAATTAACAAATTAACATTTCAAACAAACTACTTTGAAAATGCAGTTTGGTTCAACCAACTGAAGGCAGCTGCAAGATTGATTCCACTTTTATCAGTGACCAAATTGTAGTAATGTCAAATTAAAACTATGAACAATTACACACCTTTACTAATGAATAGATAAACAGAACATCAGGAGGTTGTTATATAAATCATATGTTAACTTACCAGATCAAGAAGACGTCTTCTCGCTTCGATTTTCTCTCTCTCATGGCTCTGAAAGTCATTATCAGAGTAACCTGTAGATATTGAGAGCAAATCGTTTGGGCTTTCACCAACCATCCATTCCATGGTCAAAACTCTTTTGCGCGTTAAATGTTGATACACTTTTGGAACCCGGATGTAGGAAAATCGTGAGTGAGCTTCCTTCAAGAAAAAAAGTATTTTAGTCAGTCACAGGCAACGAGATACTTACGTCCAACCACCAGAACAAAAGGAAAGAAAGCAGATACTAGCTAGAAGAGCACATTGTCGCACACGCTAGATAAGCCAGAATTTAATGCATGAGAAAGATAATGAGCACAGCATACTTACAGAAAAAAACTATCAACAGAAGCAGAAAGTATGAAACTCTTAGCAACACGTTCTATTGGACAGTTGTCTACACAAAAGAACAATTTAATGCACAGTACCCGAAATTCAGAGGCATTGGCAGCCTCTAAAGTAAAGTCCAATTCTCCAGCCAAACCCTTTCCAAGCTCATCAGCATATACACGAATGTCATTTTCTCTCTTTGCTATCTTTCGCACTACACCCAACTGCAACAATTAAAAGAAATATCATATAACTATGACATGATTCAAGCAGATTAATCTGAGCATACTTGATAGATTTCACACAAACCCCAAGTCGTAGAATGTAAATGTCGCGTAGCACTGCATGTCTCATATCAGGACGTTGAACTTTCACTGCAACATCTGAACCATCGAGGGTCCTTCCTCGGTAGACCTAAAAGTAGCATGTCACGTATTAGGCTTGCATCCTACATGTTGATTCATATGATGCTTACTTCTTGCAAGATTTAATTCAAAATACCTGACCAAAGGATGCTGCTGCTACAGTTTCTTGAGAGAACTGGCTAAAGAATGATTCAACAGGAGCCCCTAATTCTTCTTCAATGATTTTTGCAGCCTCTGGCCAGGGAAAGGGGGGGATTCGGTCATGCAGTTCAGATAGTTCCTGCAGTTGTTAATCATAACCAAGTTAATAACATAGTCAGACATATGAAAACCAACATAGTCAGACAGCTACATCGCTAAGAGCAGCAAAATGTACCATGCTAAATAGAGATAGGACCGTGGAAGCATGCACTAGCAAGACATTTTAGTAACCCTAGAAAGTAATAGAATTGAGAAACTACGAGATTTATAGACGCGTGAACATAACTTCTATCTGACCTTGGAGATTTCAGTCCCAATGATATCTGGCCTCGTGGAAAGGGATTGACCAACTGGACCAGCAGGAAAGAAGGAAGCATCATTCACAACAGAGCAGAGTATCTAATTTATGGCTACCAAATTGATACTTCAAAATAATAAGAGAATCGCCAGACCTTTGATAAAAGTGGGGCCCAAATGTAGCATGGTTTCTTTCAACACCATCCCAATGTTCTGCCCTGAAGCTTCCAAATTTTTGCCCTTGTCTGGTGCTGATGTTCGTAATCTAATTGCAGCAATCATGAACGCAGAAAACACCTATACATTAGCATTGGATTAAAACCCCATCTCTCAAAGAAAGCAAGAATACTAAAGGAAGCTGATATACTGGTTCCCACAAACAGAAAACGGTGCAAACTATAGATACTTGAATTAGTATCCTGGGGGAAATTTATGTGAGGACCCAAAAGTTGATATGAGCGGTTACGTGTTAAACACACACCTTATAAGTTATGGCTTAATTTTCCAAACCAGTGGTTATAAATTAAAGGTAAAATATAAAGGTAAGGAACCCGGAAAACATTGTAATAAGTGGGCGGTCAATTGCACAGTTGGTTACTTGGTTGAATCAAATACGAAGCAAAATTTCACCGTGATAAAAAAAAAAAAAAAAACAGGTTGGTAACTTGAGGACATTTTAGTTTCAATGGCTAATCCAAAAACGAAAACCTCACCAGATATCATCAGTATCTCTAAAAGCGTTTACCAAACTTTAAAATGATTCAGTGATTAAGAGCAGAATTAACGAAAACTGTTAACAGGTACCTCCAGAAGCCTAAAGGCAACAACATGTGGCCTGCAGTTAAAGTAATCCGCAACAGCTTGTGGATCGTAAACTTCAGGGAGTGGTCTTGACCACATCTTAGAAAGAAAGTAAATGTAACCAGCATATGCCTCCAAAGCTTTGACATCAGCCATGAACAAGTCCACCCCAGTGAGCCCTACCAAACGGTTTGAACTGCATCAGCAAATGATTACCACTAACAGTAAATAAGATTAACAAGAATTACACTAAATTTCCCAAAATCTCGATTTTTGAGAGACCTATCACATTTGCTCCAATCAATATGAATGCCATTGAATCGAATGCAAAAGACATTTCGGTTTTAAAAATCCAATCTACTCATTTATAAGACAAGCAATCTTCTTGATCACTGACAGTAATCAGCTTCCCTCTAATACTCCAACCTAAAGCCCTCAAATTTTCAAATCACAGTCATCATTTCCGCCATTGCAAGATATCTACTGTAACTCTACTTTAAACTACATAACAAATTAGCAAGCTATGGGTGTATCTGTTATCTTCAAACCTGCGTACTCAGGTTGAGGCCAGGATCGTGGCTCCAAAGGCGGAGAAGCGGGATCCTCGAGATGCCGGAGCCAGAACAATTCCTCGGCGGATTTAGTCACTTCAGGGACACGGAAAGCCTCGTTCGCCCACCGGATTCCGATGCCGATTTTATTCTTGAGGAACTCAACGTCATTGCGTACAACATCGGCGACGTGGCCGAGACCGACGGCCAAAGGTGGAATCGCTCTTCTTTGTTTTAATCGCTTCAATTCAGCAACGGCGAAAGCTGCTCGAGGCGAGCGTCGAACTTGCGTGGGTATGGTGGAGCAAGAAGGGGACGTCGATACCGACGCCATGTTGACCGGAGAAACAAGTTTTAGGATTGAAATCGGAATTCGTGAGTCATCATCATCTTCAGGGGATTTGGAGCGGAGGAGAGTGAGAGAATTTGCTTTTCAGTTTTTGTGTGTGTAGCGGAGAGGAGTGGTCCACGTAAGCGTGGGAGCGATAAGGCCAACGAACGATATAATGAAATTAAACAATTACTATTTAATTTGTAAGCCCACCTTTTGGGTAAAGCATTCGGCTAAAGCCCAAAATCAAATTATTAATACATCGGACACAAACTAGGCTGCTGTCGCGGGCTTTTTTTCGAGTATATAAAGATTTGAACCCTTTGGTATCGAATTTACCGACAGAACCATAGATCATGTTGGATTATAACAGAATATCAAACAAAAGTTACAAAACAATAAAAGTGATATGCATATAATAGTTGATGTTGGATTATAACAGAATATCAAACAAAAGTTACAAAACAATAAAAGTGATATGCATATAATAGTTGATGTGCATATATATTCAGAGCCGTGTCCAGAGATACAGAGTCCGTAAGCGGATTTAAAAATAAACCCTACTTAACCCGTTTTTGTGTTAAAAGCTCTAGTTAACTATCTTTATCTCATATTCATATAAAATCAATCTAATTTATATAAAAAAAAATAATAATATTATCATTTCAAATTCATATAAACCAGTAATAACAATTATTATCGTAAACAAAATAAATACAAATTATAATAACAAATCACAAATCAAACTAAATCTAACATTAGATGAAACAAAATTATAATTAAAAAAATTACCAATTGACAAATAGCTATTGATTATGTCGTTGTTCAGAAAGAATAAAAGGAGAGTAAGAAGTTTCCAAAACTTTAATAAAAAAATAAGAAGTTGAAATGATAATTTTAGTTTTAATTTGTCTAATTATTTAGGTGGCTATGTATGTTGCCTAATATTGTATTGTGTTATTAATTTAGTTGCTAAATTTATCAAAGAAAACGTTTTATTTTCAAACTAAATCTCAATTTAAATAATTAATAATAAACAATTACTTTAAATTAGACCTTTCAATTTTTTTTAAAAAAAATGGCCCATAAGCCAATGTTTCTCGTGCCTGTATATATCTTATTAAGTTATTATATAAATGTCCATATAATAATTAATTAAGTATCCTAATTTTTCAAATATATTATAGTTAAATCATATGGTACTACTTTTGTTATCTTCTTTTGTAAACAGATCGGTAGGCACAAACTTGCGAGATAAGAATGCAGCGGGAAAAGTTGTTTGGCCTGCTGAGATTTGAGAGCGTTAACTTTATTATGATTACGTGGTTTGGTGTTTAATGAATGGTTATGTTAGTTTTTCATTAATTTTGAAATTTTTTATTATTAAGTTAAGTACCATAAGATGTGCAGTCAATTTTTCTAACTTATACGATATATTATTATTAGGAGGTGAGTGATGGACGAATATCTTTTGATTTTTATGATTGGCAGGTTTCTATTTTTTGGAAATTCATGTTTCGTTCGTTCCCATCCTGTCATGTTTCCATATTTTAAAGAAGACATACGGACAACTATTTTGGTTCCCATATTTGATATTTCTGTCTCATTCTTGTAAAGTTTGTTCTGAATTCTCGTTTGTCAACTCTGTTTTTCTCTCTGATAAAGTCGTTTGTCCACTCTTAATGGAAACCTTTCAAACAAAAAATAGAGGCCTCTAATACTGATAAACACATTAATCTAAGACCACAAACCCATGCTAAATCGTATTACGTACGTCAATACGTATACTACATTTGTATGATTTATATATAAGACATTCACAAACATGACAAACCGAGCATAAATATATTTTTATCGCCCTAATTGATAGTAGCCTAAATTTTAATTAGTTTGTTTAAGTTAAATACTAAAGCATAAATATTGTATTCCTTAATATATATATATATATTTATATATAATCTATATTTTAATTATTTTTAAAAACCAAATGCAAAGGTCCACGGTTTGCTCTGCATTTTGCATGAAACAATGACTTCTACAGACTGCAATGTGCAGTCTACAAAACCTACGATTCTTCTAACTCGTCCCGTGACGACCGGACAATACTCACCTATGTGTGTAATTAATTGCGAAGTATTCCTAATAATCGAGATTTTTTGTGTGTGTTGTTAGTGATATATGATTTATATATTAAAAGAAGATTAATGCATGTGTAAGAACAACCTGTAATTCAATGATAAACAAAACAAAAAATACAAGTGGCTATCTTATGTTTAATGAATGTATCATGTATGTAAATGAGTTGGAGTAAAAGACAGAGAAGACAGAATCTACTTGGCCCACTTAACACAAGCCGATGTTCTCTCCCTTCCAAACACTGTGTTCTCTTTTCAAGCTTGCCTAAAATCTGGTACGATCCTGTGCGATCTTCTTCTATTATTATTATCCCAACTCTTGCTTTATTCTTTTTAAACAATTCTTAATTTAATGCTCACATGCTGTTACGTAGTTTTTCGTTGGAGTTTAATGTACAAAATAATATGATTAAGCACACAAACGGAGACTTGACGTTGCACTTGCACTATTGATTAATTAAATTCTAGTTTGACCGTGAACAGTTGCCATGTAAAAAGATTCGGGGGTATTGTGTAATCATACAAGCGAAACTATGTCGCCTCCTTAATATTTTAAGTATCAACAAACATCATTTCTTGTCATGGTCCCGAGAGGTTTTAGCTCTTAGGCGTACTAGCTAGGCTACTACATTAATTTGTATAACAAGAACTGTATATTTAATTTCAGCAAGCGTTAAACACTTCATGTTGTCGATGACTAATGACTGAGGAACAGATAGGGAAAAAGTTAAGCTATATGGATGTTGACAAAAAATATGCTGTAAGGATATTTAAATGGATATCATTGGAGTTCATACAATAAACGGCACTCTTTAAGCTAATATCACGTGGAGAAAGGCATGTGCTTTCATGATTAATTGCAAAGTCAACTACTAACCCTTTTGACCGTACTCTAATTTGCACGACATCCCCTTTTTCTAATAATATATACTGCCTTGCTGTGGTTTTTTTTTTTTTTGCTTTGCTTATTGGTCTAATGTGTAACTTGAGTAGCCTAAACATGAGTATATGCTTGGATTGAATTGTGCTATTTAAGTAAAATTGTCACAAGGTATAATTTATTTTACAAAATTTGAGTTTAGGTAGAATTTTGTTGATTTATGATTAATTTACAACTTTGAGCTATCTATTTCTGTAAAATTATTTAATCAAAATTTAACTGAAAACCATGGGAATTAAAAATTTCATGAGTTAAGATGTGATAAGTTGAGTTACCATTTTCTAAATTGTATTTCTTATAACATTTTCTTTCCAAAATATGAATTTCACATAGTATGTGTTTTAGTGGTAAAGAAACAAGGTATAACGATCAAATTCTTTATTTTAATTACATATTCCGGTTCTGCAGTAACAATTACAGTAAATGTCCGTACAGTTGTGTCACATATATGGTTTATATATATATATATTGAAAACTAAAATGAATTTTCTGTTATGGTAAGTTCCATCTCCTTGACAAGTTTGCAACTTAACTGTGTCTCGCTCCAATGAACCTTCGCGCAGACATAAACAGCTCACTTCCATTATTATTCATATTTTTATACATTTTTAAAAGAAAAAAAAAAACAGAAAACAAAACCAAGAACTCTGCATTCATTAAAATGTCCACTCAATCACCTCTCAGATCGATTCTTCCTCCACCTTCTCAATTCAACCATCTCAGAAATGCCGCCCAATTTCCCATTCTTCGTCTTCTTCCTCTTCATCTCCATTTCACTTCTCATCACAGTTTCTGGGTACGGCTCGACGGGCACAATCGCCGCCGCATTCGGCGAAAACGGGTTTTTCTGCGCCATCGACGCAAGCGGGAAGCAAGAAGTCATCTGCTGGGACAGAGGAAACACTAACCGATCATCATTAAACCACTCTCCCGGACAAACCTCCGGTTATGCTCCGCCGATGTCTTCTCTCTCCGGCGGCGAAGGTTTTCTCTGCGCCATTACGTCGAACACCTCGCGTGCCTTTTGCTGGAACCTCCAAGATCCCTCGCGTAATCTCGTCCCTAAAGCTTTTCAGTACAATTCTTACTCGCAGATCGCTTCTGGTAACAACCATGTCTGTGCTATAAGTGGATTGTACTATTCGGGTCCTGATTATGGTCCTGTTCATTGCTGGGAGTATAGTGACACGACCAACTTCACATCTGGTGTTCTCTGGAACTCGTCTTTCCACAATCCTTACATAGACAGCCTCATGTTTCGTAAGATCGTCTCTGGAGATGGATTCACTTGTGGTGTTACTAAAGACGAAGTTTTGATTTGCTGGGGACCAAAATCAAACCATTTAGGTATCTCCAACAACGAAGAAGAAGAATTCGAGGTTTTAGCTTCTGGGAGGAACTCGCTTTGTGGGGTCTCTAGAGCTTCAGGGAAAGTTCAATGCTTTGGAGATGTGACTGAGTTTGGGGAATTACCAAACCGGGTCCGGTTTATCGCTCTCTCAGCTGGTGCCAATCATTATTGTGGTATCCGAGAAGACGATCATGGGGTTGAGTGTTGGGGAAGAAACCTAAATTCATCATCTTCAGCTCCTAATACTTCAGGGTTTGTGGCGATTTCGTCTTCTGATTCCACAACTTGTGGTGTTAGAGAGCTTGACTTGGTTCTTGATTGCTGGAGAGTTCGTGATACTTCGAAACCGGATTATAGTCCTCCTCTGGAGCTATGCAGCCCAGGGCTGTGTTCTCCTCGAGGTAATTGCGGTGAGGGCTGGTTTGCTTTCAACGCAAGCATCTTGAAAGAATCTCAGCTCACGAGCTTGTGCTCGTTTCATAACCTAAACATTTGCTTACGTTGCGGGATCGATTGTTTGGACGGCTATTTCCCTTCAAGCAGCTGTAATCCGAACGCGGACCGAGTCTGCACTCCTTGTTCGCTGTGTCAGAACAGTTCTTGCTACGGTATCTGTAAGATCCGGTCTGCGAAATCGCGTGCGCACGAGCAGAGAGAGGTGCGGAGATTGGTGATCATCATCGGATGCTCTGTTTTGGGGTTCTTGGTTATGTTGATCGGTTTGTCTTTCATTCCAAAGATGACGAAAGGTAGTAAAAGAGATGAAGAAGAGAGAAGCAAAATGACTTGTTGCTTCTGTTTCGATAAGAACTCCGTCGAAGCTGATCCTGATCCTGTTCCTCAGTCCGTTCTTCTCCCGAGCGCTGTATCTCTCGGTGAGACCAAGATCTTCCGTCTCTCGGAGCTTAAAGACGCGACACATGGTTTCAAAGAGTTCAACGAGCTTGGAAGAGGTAGCTTCGGGTTTGTCTACAAAGCTGTTTTGTCTGATGGGATACAAGTCGCGGTCAAAAGAGCCAATGCTGCAACCATCATTCACTCCAACAACAGAGGTTTCGAGTCTGAGCTAGAGATTCTTTGCAAGATCAGACACAACAATATTGTGAATTTGTTAGGATACTGCTCGGAAATGGGGGAAAGGCTCTTGGTTTATGAGTACATGCCGCATGGTACGCTCCATGATCATCTACATGGAGATCTTTCGCAGTTGGATTGGAGCATGAGGTTGAAGATCATGTTGCAGGCTGCAAGAGGACTTGATTACTTACACAACGAGGTGGATCCTCCGATCATTCATAGAGATGTGAAAACGTCGAACATCTTGTTGGATGGAGAAATGTGTGCAAGAATTGCGGATTTTGGATTGGTGAGCTCGAACGAAAGAGATTCAAGCAAGAGTGATAGAGAAGGTGATGTGTATGACTTTGGTATTGTTCTTCTTGAGATACTAAGTGGGAGAAAAGCTAACGACAGAGAATCTGAGCCTCCAGGGGTTGCTGAATGGGCGGTTCCTTTGATCAGAAAAGGCAAAGCAGCAGCGATTATCGATAGGAACATTGGTTTGCCAAGAAATGTAGAGCCTTTGCTTAAATTGGCTGAGTTCGCTGAGCTTGCTGTGAGGGAAAATCCAAACGAGCGGCCCAGTATCAGAAATCTCTTGAGTTTTCTTGATCTTATCGTCAAGTCTGGACTCACCTTTTAATCTGCAGAAGCCTCTCAAAATGTGAAATATTTTTTTCAGCTTTGTTTTTTTTTCTTTCTTTTTGTTACAAAATTGTAAAATAATTTGGTTAATCAAAGTGCTGTGAGGGAAAATCCAAACGAGCGGCCCAGTATCAGAAATCTCTTGAGTTTTCTTGATCTTATCGTCAAGTCTGGACTCACCTTTTAATCTGCAGAAGCCTCTCAAAATGTGAAATATTTTTTTCAGCTTTGTTTTTTTTTCTTTCTTTTTGTTACAAAATTGTAAAATAATTTGGTTAATCAAAGTGCTGTGAGGGAAAATCCAAACGAGCGGCCCAGTATCAGAAATCTCTTGAGTTTTCTTGATCTTATCGTCAAGTCTGGACTCACCTTTTAATCTGCAGAAGCCTCTCAAAATGTGAAATATTTTTTTCAGCTTTGTTTTTTTTTCTTTCTTTTTGTTACAAAATTGTAAAATAATTTGGTTAATCAAAGTAATAAACCGACAGATTTGTTTGTCAAATTGTATCAGAATGTATCCTTAGTAGATGGTTATTGGTCCGTTAGATTGTTAGTAGTATAATCTGTTGCACGCTATGGTCAAAGTCTTTTCCGTTTTCCTATGATCAAACATGTTAACCTATTTGAGCCATGAGCATTAGGATCAATTGTATGTAAGGTTCTTTTTTTTTGGGGAGCGAATTGTATGTAAGGTTCGATCCGATATTTTGTTCGACTTTGTTCCGTTTGTTGGCTTTTTCCGGTGTAAAGGAGGCCTTATCAAATGAAAAACAAAATTAATTCAGCTCAGTCCATTTTGGTTATGTATATGGATAAAGAAAAAAAATTAAAAAACAAAATATGTTAATGGAAAACGACTAAAAAACCTTCAAAGTGTTAAAAAACGCCCAAATGTTTTGTAAAATCATTTTACACATTATTTAGCAATATCTATTTTGATAAATTTTGCGTTGTTCGATTCGGTCCGAGTGGTCATGTTAATTGTTTTTGTTTATTTTTAGGATACAGTATGCCTATATGGCATTTATCGAACACATTGATTTAGTAGTTTTTAGCAGAAATTAAGAACGGCTTTACTTATGTTTCAACCAATATGGGATTTGGATCGGTTTTTATTCAGGTTATCCGGTAAATAAAAAAGAATTAACAAACTGAAAGCATACAGTATCTATATCCATTAGAATTGGTTTGAATTAACTCTGTTTTTTTTTGTTTGAATTAACAAACTGAAAGCATACAGTATCTATATCCATAGAGCAAACTGTAATTGTGATCTATTGGTTTTGAATTGTATTTGAGTTGTAGTTTTGTTTTCTATAGAAAAGAATATTTGTAATTGAGAAAACAACATAATTGTAACTTTGTAAGTATGTCACAACAAAAGTTATATATTTCAGTTCATAGTTTTTTGGTGATTCGTATCAAAGACATATGTGTCTAACACTACTGTTTGTAATAAAACCTAAAGAGAATTATATACCTAAATATTTTTTTATGTCTTAATTGGATTTATTTAACAAGAGTAAATAATAACTAAAATGGACCATGTCTAATTTCTTAGGCTACATCCCACAATATTATACACGACTATCCATAATTATAAATTACATACGATTATGTTCTCGAGTTAATACAGGTTACTCCGGAATTATCTGAACCAAATCCGAAAACTTCCATTAACTAATAATCATATTACTGGTTAAAACTTCCATTAAACTAATAATCATATTACTGGTTAGTTAAAATACCTGAATGAAAACCATATTACTCATAGTCATAATGGTTTAGTGGAACACCCTAGATTTTGTTATCTCCCCTTTCTCTTTTGTTTTTCTTCTTGTCTCTCTCTCTCTCTCTCACTCTCTCTCACTCTCTCTCACTCTTACTCTCCTTCTTCCTGAGTCACTCTCTCCCAATCTCCTTCTGTTTTTAAACGTCGAATATGTTTCTATACATAATTATTGAAATCCATATAAATTTTTTTGTGAGTTACTTGAGACTCGAATCTCTTTATGGTGAAATAATAGAATACAATGTTATACAATATTGTTGAATATGCATCACTCTGCTAAAAATGAATCTATATTTTTTTTCTATTTGTAAAATTTTATAAACGCTATTGACAACAGATCAATATGCAACGTTCAGATCAAAATATCTACATTTTCCTCTTTTTAAAAGTAAAGCAGAGTTCTATATATCTTTATAGTATCCGTTGAAAACCCTAGAAACATAACTTGAAATGACATTAGTAGGATTTCTAGACGTGAACTGGCGTAATAGTACTATTGTTGTAAAAGTTTTAAACGTTATAGTACTAATAGCTAGAATTGTAATTAGTTGAATATTAAATCATGTCTTCTTTTTTTGGTCAGATTTTTTTTGAAAGTAATGTCATTAAAGTGTTTCTAACTATGGACCAGGATCGGACAACGTTCCTTAAGTTTGTTTTGAAGTGGATTAATTATTAACTCGATGTTAGATGGACCAGAGATTCTTCGGAGTTCAGAAACGGACCGAATCACATGTAGACCGATTGACATCTCTACATATTCATATTATATGATTTACACAACATATGACAAAAACCACACTAAGAGGCAGCATCTGTCTTATATGTAGAATACACACATATCACATCACATAGATCGATACCGGCCTAATTATAATTAGAATTAGAATTCGAATTAATAAATCTAACAAAAAAAAAGTGGAATGTACTTTTGTTAAATCGCTGAGCGTGGCCCTCGGTTGTTGAAACTATTTGTTGACCTACTTTGACTGATATACTAGAAAAATACATTCATCATTCCCTAATGCCCAATCACAAGAAATATAGGGACTAGTGTGGTCCATCCTTTATCATTATTATAAACACATTTTTCTTTAATGATTATTACAAATATTTGTTGCTGATATAAAAAGCTGATTCCCAAAGCAAAGAAAACAAACATTATTTCTTTCTATTTCCCTTTCATCATTACCTTACCACCTACTCTGAATATCAAACTTCGTATATAAACAAAATTGATAAAATGAAAATCTATTCTGTGAAGTGATATACTACAAGTCTATAAAACGAATATTGACTAACTGGCGAACTCAAATAATTGAGACTATCGAAATGAGTTTTTGTTAAAGACTTAAAATAAATTTTCTACGTGTAGTATCATGAAGGTTGCTTCCAAATGCATATACTTGCTTAATTTATCAATTTTCTTTTTAGTTGTATGAACTAATGAACGTACGTCTAGAAATTAAGTTTATTTATATATATATATATATACAGTGCAATGTTAGAAAAATATGAATTTCCTTAAAATTAAATTAAAAAAGAAGAAAAAGAAAAAGGTTGAGGCTATAGATTGTCATGTGTGTTTGTGTCAAACAGTCTCACGCGTGGTTGGATGGATGCTTGGAATAATTACAGGCACCGCAGGCTCACGCCTTTTCTAGGGTTTCTCTTTCTCCTACTATAATTTAACAGTCTACTTTTTAATCTTTGTTTCTCAATTTTTCAGATGTAATATCGTGTAAGGTTAGTTGGGCAGAGATAACATGATAGTTAGATTTTTTTTTTTTCTTTTTTTGATAGATCAGACAAACGACTTTAGTTATTGAAGGCCTACTATCATCGGTTCACACCTAGCTCTTGTATCATTCATTGACGCCCTCTAACAAATCCTTTTAAAGTCTTTAACAAATACAGTATAACATATTGTAATAAGATATTTTAAAATATCAACGGTCCTTGGTTCGTTTTACTATTGTTTTTACTCAAATAATGTAATTTATTTTCAGTGGATTTCGGAATGTTAATTAAAGAAGTTGTACTCAATATTTCGGGAATAAGGAACTTAGCCTATTAATAACTAACAAAAAAAATCTAAATTCATAAGTAGATATATCGACCACAAATTTAGCTAGTCTAATTGTAAACAAATCTCACAGCTTCTTAACTTTATATAACTTCTACCTATATAATTAAGTAATTAGTAAGGAGTTTTATTACGAAACTATAATATGTGGCATTTTCAATGTGAGATCAATAAACCAGATGTAATCATTGCAATACCTCACGAAACAAAGTCAAAAATGTGTGATGCAACTTCGTGCATGTGTAGACAATTGTGTGATAAAACCACAATTTAATAAATACAACTAAGTTATAAGGTAGGTCACAATGATATACATATACAAATAGATTTATAAAATCGATATGATTGAAACGATACAAAAGAATCTGAACCGTACGGGAATGTAATAATTAGCTATCGATATAATTAATCCTTTATAAAAAAAACAAAGGAGTACACTGATGTGAACACAGAAGGAATCCTCGTAAAAAGTGCTGTGACATGACAAACATTTGTACTGCAAAAAATACGAATCGAAGGACTGGAACGGAATCAGAGGGTCACCAAAATATCTAACAATGAAATATATGGGAAACCACGAGAAGAAAGCTGAAAGCATATGTGTATGGACCGTATGGTTTCGTGTGAGTTACCTTATAATCTTCTACACATGATTGGATCAACTATCAAGAACTTCTACAAAAAAAATAAGACAATTAGAGAAAATCTACTTAGTTACCATAAGATATTTAGAGAGAAATGTATATATATATATGTATGTGAGGATATGCATGGCTCCTCATACGCCATCCACGAAGGTCATCGATACTCGATGAGCTCATTGTATGGCATACAGGGAGCCAGGCATACATATACAATATATATATATATATATATATATAGCATCTATCTATATGCGTCATGATGTATACTTGTGTCATGTATGGAAACTAACTGCCTAAAACAGATGTGTCTAATTCTATTTTTAAGTAATGCTCTCTCCACCTGGACATGCATAAACAGATCGTAAGCAATAAATAAGGAGGAATAGAAGCAATCTAAAGCATGGATTGTGATTTGCATGTACGAAAATGGAATTGAAGGGATCTTTGCTTTCTCTCTCTTCTGGAGGAATTAAGGT